CAATTTTCCCCAATTTTTAATATAGCAAAATACAAACAAAATTAACTTTTAAGTATTTTAAAAGTACAGTTCAGTGGTATTATTAAATATATTCATAATATTGTAAGCCATCACTAAACATCCATTTCCTGAATGCTTCTCATCTTGTAAAACTAAAAGTCTATAATCATTAAAAATAATTCTACATATTATTCCATTATCTAGATAATAATCCATTATTGGACATGATCTCCTTCTGTGTGTTGTCTTTTTACTCTGTTGACTGTATTTTGATGCATAATTTAAAAACTTTTTAAAAAGTCCAATTTCTTTTTTGTTGTTGTTTACTCTCTGTGGTGTCATAGTCAAAAAATAATTGCCAAATCCATTGTTACGAATCTTTTCCTCTATTTTTCTTCTAAGAGCTTTTAGTTTTAGACCTAAAACTTTAGCTCAGGGGTTCATTTGAATTATATTTTGTATTTGGTGTTAGCTAAGGGTCCAACTTCATTCTTTTGCATGTGGATATCCAATATTCCCAGAATTATTTGGTAAAAAGACCATACACTCATAGAATGGTCCTGTCACTCTTCTTAGAGGGTTTATTTCTGGACCCATTTCTATTTTATTGGTCTGTATGTCTCTCTATATGCTAGTGACACACTGTTTTAATTACTGTTTGTAGGTTTTGAAATCAGTGAGTCCTCTAGCTTGTTTGCTTTTTGTTGTTGCTGTTTTGCTATTTGGAGATATTTGAGATTTCATACGTAAGAATGCATTTTCCTATGACTATAAAAAATGTCAGTAGGATTTTTAGAGGAACTGCATTAAACCTGTAGATTGCTTTAGATAGTACTGGTATCTTAAGAATAAAGGCTTTAATCCATAAATAAATCCATATCATAAACATGATATATCCTTCCATCTATTTACATGTGCTTTAATTTCAGAAATGTTTTGCAACTTTCGTTGTAAAAGTTTTTCACCTCCTTGGATGATTTCTAAGTATTTTCATTCTTTTTGATGCTGTTATAAATGTGCTTTTCTTAATTTCTTTCTTTTTTGGATTGCACTGTAGAAATGCAATTGACTTGTGTTTACTTTGTATCCCACTATTTGCTGAATTTAGTTGTTGTGTGTGTGTGTGTGTGTGTGAGAGAGAGAGAGAGAGAGAGCGAAAGAGAGAGAGTGGAGGAGAAAGAGGTGGGAAAGAGAAGAAGGAGGAGGAGGGGCAGTAGCAGGAGGAGGAGGAGGGGGAAGAAGAAGAGGAAATGGAGGAAACTCCAGCTTTCTACGCATAAAATCGTATCATCTATAAATGGAAATAATTTTGCTTCCTTTTGTATCTGGATGTCTTTTATCAAGAAATATATTCTTGACTAATTTCTCTTAGACTTTCAGTACTGCCATGAATACAGGTGGAAAATGGGGTATCCTTGCCTCCTTCTTGATTTTAGAAGAAAGCATTCAGTCTTTCACCAGAGTATGATGTGCTTTGGTGTGTTTTTCATATATATGGCTTTATTATGTTTAGGTAACATCTTTTTATTGTGAGATTATTCAGTTTGTTAACCTTGAAAGGATGTTGATTTTGTCAAACATCCCTTCTGCATCACCTGAAATGATTGTATGACTTTCCTTCATTCTGTTTACAGGGCTTTGTTACACTGGCAGATCTTCCTGAAGGAATCATTCCTAACATTCCAGAACTAAATCCCACTTGGTCATGGTGTATAATCCTTTCTTTGCTTTTTTTTTTTTTTGGGTGAGACTGGGGTTTGAACCCGGGGCTTCACACTTGCAAAGCAGGTGCTCTACCACTTGAGCCATACCTCCAGTCCTTTTTTCGCTGGTTATTTTGGAAATGGGGTCCTATGAACTATCTGTTCAGTCTATGAACTATGACCCTTCCAATCTCAGCCTCCAAAGTAGTTGGGATTATAGGCATAAGCCACTGATGCCACGCTGTATAATCCTTTTAAAAAACTTTCAATTTGATTTGCTAGAATTTTGCATCAACATTCATAAGGATGTCTGCCATTTTCTTGTAGGACCTTTCTGTAGTTCTTGTATCAGGTAATCGTGATTTGAGAGAATGAGTTAGAGAATGTTCCCGCCTCTGCATTTTTTTTTTTTGTCCGAAGAATTTTAGAAGGATTAGTGTTAGTTCTACCAAATGTTCAGCAAAATTTACTGGTGAAATCATGTTCAAGGAATTTTCTTTGTGGGGTTACAATTTACAAGTCTACTCAGATGCTTGATTTCTTCATAAATTAGTCTTCCATAAAGTTGGTATTAATGCCCCCACTTTTATTTATGACAGTAATTTCAGTGGTCTTCTGTTTCTCTTTCTTTGGTGGTACTGGGGGTTGAACTCAGGACCTAATAATGCTTGCTACGTAGGAGCCCTACAACTTAAGTCACTCTACCAGCTCTTTTTCATTGGTTATTTTTGAGCTAGGGTCTTGCTTTATGCCCAGGCCAGCCTGGACCGTGATCCTCTTATTTGTGCTTCCCCATGTACATGGGATGACAGGCATGTGGCACCATGCCCAGATATTGGTTGAGATGGGATTGTTTGAATATTTTCCTGGACTGAAAGTTGAAACACGATCCTCCTGAACTCTACCAAATGAGTAGCTAGGAGTATAGGTTTGGTCATTTCATCGATTTTTTTCAAAGAAAAAATTTTGATTTCATTGGTATTCTTCATTATTTTCTATTCTCTATCCAAACCTTCCCCTGGAAGTTCTAACCATTCAGCAGATTCCAGAGTTCCAAAATGATTCCAGAGTTACAAATTTCTGGTGCTTTCTATCTGCTATCTTCTTCCCACCATCTATTTTTATGACCCATGTTTTAACTGTTTTCCCTATAGTTGATTAAGTTGAATAAGACTGAGCAAGTTAAGTACAGACATGAAAGATTTTTTTTTAAATCAGGCTTTTAGAAATAAAAGTTATAATGGATGAGAAGAATTACAATGCACATAATTAAAAGCATTATTTAAAGTTGCAGAAGAAAAGGCTAGCGAACTGGAAAACAGCAATAGAAACTACCCAGAATGAAATACCAAATACAAAAAAAAAAAAAAAAAACTGGATAAAAATGAACAGAGCATTAAGGGCTTGGGTAAAATTCAAATGAGCTGGACTCTCCCAGGCAGAAGCATGAGGGACAGAATATATGTCTAGCAATAATGGTTGAATCTTTTACAAATGTAATAAAAACTATAATCCCAAGAAGAAGTCCCAAGAAGCTCAATGAACACCAAGAACAAGAAGAAAACCACACAAAAGCAAACCAGAATTAATGGCTGAAAATCAATGAGAACCGATCTTCACTCTGGTGCCAACAGTTGATACAAGTACCAGTATTCCAGTTTCTACTTCTTCTCCTGCATTCTAGAACCAAACCTCAATGCTCCCAACCAGAGATAGAGCATCAGTTGTCCAGAATCCCCTGCTGAAGAGTTCGTGTACCAGCTCGGCAGGGGGCTGGGGAGCTCTCCTCTGTACTCCTCAGGCACCAGAACCTATACCTTACTGGGTCTCTTCTTAATGGCTCCAAATCCAAGCACCCCAGGACCCTTCTTCCATACGCTAATAAACACAACTTCCCACCCCCTCCCCCCTTGTTCCCTAGGAGTGAGATCCGTTTCCTGTTATCACCTCCGTGGTGTCGCTGTGTTCTTTTTGCCTTTTTAATCCATTCTTTATATTAAAAACTCTACATTATTTAAATAACACAGGATGATCGCACTGTTAGGAGAAAGTAAAAAAACTTTTTATTATTGTTGTTGAATGAAATTTAAAATACATATAGAAAAGGTAAATAAAGAGGCTAAAAAGCCAGAAGTTAGAGTGCATTGGTTGCTGAATTATTCTCTCAGCTAAAACAATCCCTTTTTTTTCATTGTTGTGATGTGGGTCTTTATTAACTGGGTATCTGATACATTCTGCCAAAAACTTATGCTACAGGGAGACAGAGGGCTAGGGGCAATAAGGGACTTCTCATTCCTGTTTTACTTCCCATTCTGAACACATCACCCTAATATGGGTCTTTATAAATAGCAAATAATTCACCCTAGCAGTGATTGGTTCAAGTTTGTTTTCTCCAGAAGCAGCTTTATTAGCAATTCAAATACCAATTAGCCAGCATGTTCTTCTCGTAGGTTCATGCCCAGACCCATGGAGTTTCTATTTTCTCAAGTCATGAATTTATTTCTGAATTTCTAGATCACCAATTGTGCTGTGCCTCTTTCTCAGAGGTTCATTGTCAGCTTAGTGCATCTTTCCTCAAACTTTTCAGGATCCAGTGACTAATTCATCAGATGCTTGAATCCTAACACACACACTCTCTCTCTTCTAAATCCAATCAATTTTTTTAAGTGAGGTAACTGCTTCCTGCAAGTACTATGTCTTTGATACATTCCATTGATCTTTATAAAATAAAGATATTAATTCACCAATTTTACTGTCAGATTGTTACTTTGCACATAATGTTTTAATCTTAGTTTGTTTCAGTAAGAGCTAAGCTATAAATATATGCCTGTGCTTATGAACAGTAAGAGATCTAACTAATTCTCCTTTATCAGATGAAGAGATATAGTGTGATGGGGAGACACACCTGAAAGACAAAAGACTTCCATATCTTTCATGATCTGGGTAAATTCATCCTCTAGGAAGCTTAAATCCCCACCTATAAAAATATGACTCACAGAGTCCTGGATCTCTTAGGAAAGTATTTATGTGGAGGTGCTTATAGGAATCACAAGCACTGTGTAAATAAGTTTTTACTGCTTACCAACAGTGACCAGATGGTAGAAGATGATGAAATAAGGAAAATAGAAAAAAGAGAAACAATTCAAAGTATTCCAGAGTGGTTTTGACTTACTCAGAAACAGACTGGAACCTGTTTACTTTTTTTAAATTGACCTATACATTTTCCTCATTCCATTCAATCCTAATCCCCAGTCTACAAAGCAAAGATCCTTTTGACCAATGAGACAGAGCCATTTATTAACATATAGCAAATACTGTTTATTGCAGACTTTCCAGCTGACTTGTGAAAAAGGCACTATGAAAAATTAATGACTCTAGATAATCTCTCTACATGGATTTATGTTAAAATATACAACATTCTTACAGAACATTTGCTTTATATATGTGAAATAATATAACATTTAAGGACAAAAATTGTGTTCCCAAAAATAACATTTGTTGAAGTTTAGCTACCTTTCTTTTCTCTATCTAGAATCTTTCACAGGATTAAAGTACATGTAAATTAATTGTTTTCTTTTATTATAGGAAAGACTTGACACAGATAAATACATAAATGGCCCCAATATCCTTTTAACTACTTATATCAATATTCATAACTGAGACGTTCATTAAGCAAAATACTGTAACACACACAGATGTGGGCTACTTCCTCTGATAGATTGTGAGAGTGTATGTACATATATATGACCTCTTTCCCACTTGTGCTTTCTCATATAGAAGAACACAGTATACATAATAAGTAGGATATAAACTAAATCAAAACACGAGCTATGCAAGGTATCGCAATCAACAGAGCCATGACAATGTCTTGGGAACGTTCAGTAGGTTTGCATTTGCACATCCGAGGCCTGGCCCTACTTTACAGTTCATTCAAAGGTTTTAATTTTTTTTTTAAACTGTTGGCATTAAGAACTTTAAATAAATGTAAATACTCTATCATTGGGTATGTCAGAAGAGAAACCTAAATAAGCAGAGGTCAGGTGAAGTGAGTTACACACCAAATGACATACATAATCACAGAAAACTGAAATTGTTTAGATCTTAAATCATAGGCTATTATCTTTGCTTTGTTGCAATGAATAAATTCAGCACTGTCAACAAAAATTCCTACTTACACAATCAAATGGGGATGAAGTAATTAATGTAATAAAGGAAACCATAGCTTGGTAAAGTAGGAAAAATATTTCCCAAGGTCAAGAAATTCAGTGTAAAATTTTTCAGCTTTAATAAGAAACGACAGGCACAAAAGGAAGTCTTCTGCTTATTTAGGTATGCATTGTTTTCTCATGGCAATAAATTATGTACACCAATAAAAACAAATCTGACATTCCCTTCAAGGCTTCTTAAAACAAAGCATGTTGGAATAATGCCAAGAATAATGGAGTTTAAAAACAAACAACAAATTAGTGACTGCTTCCTTCATCAAAAGACTCCACTCCTGAATCACTAGCAGCAGCACTGATTTTTTCTTGTCGTCGTCTCATAATTTCTTGCAACTCAGAACTGCCATTGTTGTCCTAAAAAATAAACAAGATTCAGACAAGATGGTTAATGGTTTGTGTCGACTGCAGGTTGTGTAACCAAAGAGCCCAGGGTACAAGTCCACTGTTGTTTTCCGCCAGTATTTCTTCAGGAAAATAAAGCCTTCCTGGACTGTCTCAGCATATCTCATTAATAACTGTTCATTTTATGAAGTGTCTTAAGGCAATTCATTCACCACGGCTTTCATTTGAACATGATACAGATCAATAATGCATGCAGAATTCTATAGATTCCCTGAGAGAAAGAGGATATGTGTACAGTAACAGGGTAGATTATCAAAGGATACTTTTGGGTCCAGCAAGACAGTCATGTTCCTTTAGGAAATTTTAAAACAGGACAAAAAGAGGGGTCAGACTATTTCCCTTCTTACAGTTCTGACCCTCAGATCTCCCTTCCATCCCTGTGTACCCTTCCCATATCCCTTTCATTGACAGAAGTCTTTGGCAACACGGGTGAGAAATGTAAAGGAGGAACTAGATCCCAAGAGAGGGGCGAGTGAGGAGGTGGCTGAGGAACGTGACAAACCTCGGTAGCCAGCCTTGGCCTCAACTCACACCCAGAAAAATGGGCCACAAGAGACCATGGTGAAGAGGGCAGTGTGGGCAAATGACAATGACAGACAGTTCTGGAAGGAAGGAATTCAGAGATTTTAAGAATGTACCATTTTATAACATATACTTAAGGAGGGAGTAATTTACACATTCTTAACAAGGTTAGAATGGATAATACTAACAACACTGCTTGCTAAAATATGTAATTCTTATTCATACTTGACATACAAAAAGCAATCAAACCCTATTACAGAATCCCTAAGATTGATGTTATAGGAAAAACTTCCAAGGCAAATATAATTTCTCTTGATTGAGGATGGTTACAGGATTTATGCATGAAGATATTTTATTCAGAGTTACTTAACTGTTGAATTTATATAACATACCTGCTACAGATAATTAGGTATCAATTTCATGTTAAAACCCATATCCTCTCATTTCAGTCCAAGTACAATTTTCAGGAAGCTTTTAAGAGCTGTGAGATATAACAGTCAGAAACTACTACTCTCACACAGTTTATTTTAAGTAGAGGATATGAGAAGTTAAGTATATCCAACTTAGAAAATATTTACTCTCTTGCTTTTATACAGACAACTATGACTAAATTATTACTCTTAAGTGATTTCTGTTTCAATGTTCTCTAACTAATATTTCCTTTCCTCATTATTTAAATGGATAACCAGGCTTAAGATGGATAACCGGGCTTAAGGTTATAAGGGCAGTTAGACCTTATAAACTATAACTTATTTGGATCTCCAAACTAAATATTAAGAACAGACAAAAGAGTTCTGGACTCTTAAGGCATTTACTCACTCAGATGTGAATTTCCTTTATTTTGGAAAAAAACAAAATTTCTAAACCAGTAGTTAATGCAATAAAATGAAGACATTTATGCTTTTATTTCTGGCAGTACTGAAGTTTGAACTCAGTGCCTTGTACTTCCTAGGCAGGCAGATGCTCTATCACTTGAGCCACACCAGAGGCTCTTTTCACTTTAGTTATTTTTCAGACAGGGTTTAAAAACATCTTTCATGTTTTACTAATGAATATATATAGTAAATGAATCTCCCTGAAAATAGTCATTGATAGCATCCAGTGACGAATAAAAGCTGAGTCAAATTTAATTCAGCATTACAAGCAAGGAAAATTGGCCAATATGAACATGAACAATTGTTTCTCTAACTTTCAAATTTCAGTTCACGTTCCTGACTAATACAGAAGAACATCACCTCAGGCTGACCACTCGTACCTCTAACGCAGCTTTTTGCACAGTGATTTGGCTAAAGACTCTGGCCCCTTCAGGGCACACAGTCCTCAGTTCCTCTTTATTCAGGGAGAAAAGCTGTGCGCCATTTAGTACTCCGAGACTATTGACAGTACTGAAAACACAAAAGAAAGAAATAAGAGCATTAGAAATGCTGCCTAGAAGAAATAAAAGAGAAATTTTTCTGTTTCTGCAATTAACCTTCTTTTGTCAGTGTTACACACACAAGAACTATTACAAAATGGCACTACAGTACTTAACGTAGGCAAGGACAAGGGACTTTCATGACCTTGACTCTGAGACTCTTCTAGACAAGATGGTTCGTTATGCAGCATCAAAAAGGAGCCGATTAAGGTTAATATCATCACTGTTTAATATGAATCCCTTAAAATTTGGTGTTTCATAGAAGGAATAGATAGCTTCTAGTAACCTGCACTTCATTTTCAATCATGCCTAGTGAATTTATGCCAGGTTCCCTGAATATGCATTATTCAAAGAGTTCATTGTGCCAAACACACATAAAATGTTTATAGACTTTTCCTTTATCATGGGTTTACTAGAGGAAAAGCTCTATTATGATCATAATCAATGACAGGTAAAGTTCCCATTTTTTAATTGGCTGGAGATACCATACCCATCATATCCCACATAGTCTGGAGAGTTTCACTAAGACCATGTACTACCGTGTGTAGCCTGATGATGGGGGAGAAAAAAGCTATGAGGCTTGACAGCTGCTGAAAGTTATTTAAGGACCTGATAATTAACAAATATCACCAGCTAGAAAATCGAGTGGCATCAAGTGGATAGCTATACCTGCTTCTTCCTATTATTATTATTTTTTTGGTATGAAAAGCTATCATCATTTCTTGACTATGGAACAAAGTGTGCAGTCTGGGCTCTTTATACCCTTCAAGAGTCACTTATAACATGTCAGTGATCCAACTGAAAACAAGACATGCAAAGTGTTCAGAGACACTTACACTGGGTTGAACCCCTTTGACTGTAGCCAGGTCTTCACATCCTCAGGTGTGGAGTCATAAGTGATATTGACAACTGGCATGTTCTGCCGTGGCACGTGGAACTTCTTCTGTGCGGCACTCCGGCCAATGGTCAGCCTGTGGATGAGCTCGTCCTGCACCTCTTCCATCTGAGACTTCCTTCCTAGATACCAACAGGGAGCACAGTCATGCCTGAAAATCCCTAACAAGATGTCCCTCTCTCTAGAATCCCAATGCCAATAATCCCTGGGTCCCAAAAGGGCTTACAATATAGGGATCCTACCATCTTCCCTTACTTTTATCCCCACCCAGTATAAATTCCATGACCAATTATGAAAATAACTCCCTAACTCTTCTCTTCTTTTTTCATTAACTCATTTGGTAAAACCTCAGCCCTGGATAATTTAACACTCTGTATATTCAGTGCCTGAATGCGACACAACAGTGTAGAGTCTAGTGAGCTCATGTTAAGTTGATCACGAGCCTCAAGTGTTTGTTCATGACCCTGAAGGTCATTCTACATTTCTGCAGATAAGTGGGCTCTTGGCTGGGAACAATTTTGATACCAAGGGACATTTGGCAATGTCTAGAGATAGCTTTGGTTGTATAGTTAAAGGGGGGAGACTGTTGCACCACGCAGTTGGTAGAGGCCTGGGACAAGCAAAACATTCTATATACAGTGAAGATTCTGGCCTTGAATGTCAAGGGAGTTGATGCAATATACAATTAGCCTCTGTCTTAGCCAGTTTTTTAATAGCATTGAAATAGCATCTACCTTCTCTCTAGACTTCAACCTACTCCCCATCCTCGTCCTGAGGATCTCACTTCCTGACTTCTGAATAAAGTACAAGAGTTAAAAGAGAACCTCAGAAATACTGGTGGCTCTACACCAGTACCTCAGAGTACTACTGGTAGCTCTCCTTCCCACCAGTACTTACCCCACCACGCTGGCTTCCTTCCTACTGAGCTATCAATGAGCTATTTCTTTGTTTCTAAGGCCAGTCCATCTATGTGTGCACAAAACCCTGAGTTCTCTGCCTGTTTGTTTAAATACTGAGATGGTAGTTTCTCCACACTTATCTTGTGGTATCAGTTTTCCCATATACTCGATCTTTTCAGCATACAAATATGCTACTACTTAATAGCTATTTCTCTCACCTCTGAATAACTATCTTTATACTTTTGAGGCAGGGTCAAACTATGTAGTTCAGGCTGGTTTAGAACTTGGAATATTTTTACCTCAGTCTCCTGAGTGCTGGGACTATAGGTATGCACCATGAGTAACTCTTTCTTACTAGGTCCCCTCCCAGCTACCACACATTTCCCTGTTCCCTTGTAAGCAAAACTCCATGACAAGTCATCTATACTAGCTGACTCCAGTTTCTGTTATCCTATTTCCTCCTAGATTTATTGTGATTCAATTCATTGCCTCTGTCCCTAACTCTCCACTATTCCAGTAGCCAATTCCTTCCCAGCCATCAATTCATTTAATGTATTTGCAGCATTTGAATCTAGTGGTTCCACCTTGGAGCCCTTTCTTCTTGGACCTGCAAGGTTCACACTTTCCTGGCTTTCCTCCTGTCCATCTCACTGGCCTCTCTTTGCAGTATTCTTTTCTGAATCTTCTAATCACTCCTGCTTAGTCATGTTAAAGTGCCTTGAGGTACAAAGCTGAACCTTTTCTCTGCTTGCACTCACTCCATCAGCCATCACTGTGCCTCATCTCATGGCAATGTAAACACTGATGGCTACCAAATTATTTCTCCAGGCATATATGTCACTCTGAAGTCTAGATCCGTATTTTAACTGTCTATTTGATCTATTCAGGGGATGTATTTTAGGTGTCTTTAATGTATTCAAAAACAGTATGTCAAAACCTGAATCCTTGGTCTTCTTCCTGAAGTTGGCTTTCACTAAGCTTAGTTACTTATGTTTAGACTTCCAGTTCAGTTAATGGTAATTCTTTCTTTCTAGTTTCTCTGGTAAAAATACCATGGAGCTATACTTGATTTCTCTTGTCCTATACAGCATCTAATTCATCAGCAAATCCTGTTAGTTCCAACATCAAAACATATCCCAAATCCAATGATGTCATTCCACTATTTCTGTTACTAGCATGGTCTAAGCCATGAGCCTATTAACAGGTCTCTGTACTTTTTGCTCTCTACCACTCACCTTGTTCTCTTCATTCTCTTCTCAATATAACAACTACAGTGATTTTTTTAAAAACATAAATTAAATATTGTAGCTCAAAACATTCCCAATGACAGGTTCTACATGGCCTGTACCTCTCCATGGTCCCTTACTCTAGCTCACAGCTAATTTTGGTGCTTTCAAATTTAAGGATTACTCCAGCCTCCTTTGTCTGTAATGCTTTCCCTCCATATATTCAGAGGGCCCACTCTTCCTCTCCTTTAGACTTACCCTGATCTACTTAAAATTGCAACCATCTCCCCAGTAGCATTATTCTCCAAAACAGTTACCATCTTCCAATATTCTCCATCAACAAAGATAATTATTTATCTATCACTTTTTATTAAAATATAAGCCTGTGGACAGAAGAGCTTTTCTTCTGCTTTGTTTGCTAGGGTCCTATATCCCCTATACCTGGAACAGTATAGTGATTCAGTAACTACTCATGAAGTGAAAAAGTAAATGAAGGAATGACACATTCTCTTGATATTTTCACTGAGAGAGCCTTTGAAAATCATCATAGGTATGGTGTCACATGCTGTAATCCTAGCTATTCAGGAGTCTGAGGCAGGAGGAGTAATTTGAGGCCAGCCGGGACTACATAGTGAGTTCAAGGCCAGCCTGAAATCCAAATTGGGTCCCTGTCTCAAAATAAAAAATAAAAAAATAAAAGAACTGGGGGATATAGCTCAGTGTTAGAATGCATAAAGTGCTTACCTAACATATATGAGGCCTTGGGTTCTGATCCCAGTAACACACACACACAATCATGTAAAAACCTCTTAAATAACCAGATGTGCAAATGAAGTACAAAAGCAGAGAAATGATCTGTCAAAGTCACATTGTTAACTAGAAGTGGAAGTTAGCTAGAACCAGTTGTTCTGTAGACAGCTCAGGGCTGTTTTATAGGCAAAGTCATTGAAACTACCTTTGACTGACTTGGCTAGGATCCTTCTCCTCTGGCCACTTCATGACTCAGGAAAAGAAGGAAATATAAATATTCTGTTGTGAAAAATATAGGAAAGAAATGACAGTATAGAAAGGGAAAGGCATATCTAAAACTACAAGTGTGTATACTTGGGCGCACTAAGTCATTTGTATATCAAAAATTAAGATCAAAAAGCTGATATAGTAATCAAATTAACTCAGCAAACAGTAATGATCTGGTCTATAAGGGAACTTTTTATGACCATATCATGTTGTTCTATGAGCCTTTTTTTTTTTTTAAGGGGAAGTGTTTTAGAAAGTGTTTAGTGTCCCTGGAAAATAAGTGAAAGTGAAATAATCAGATAGTGTTATTCCAGTCTAATTCAAGTTCTCAAGTATTTAGCAAACCTTTTGAAAAAGAAGTCAAAAAAGAAAGGAAAAGGGAATGGAGGAAGAAAGGGAGAAAGAGAGGCAGGGAGGCAGGGATGTTCAAGAGAGTAAGAATACTATTGATTGTTATATTTACATAACATATTACCTGTACTCCATTAGTTAGCTCTTTTGAATCAGTACAGCATATTGCCATATAGCATATGAGTCAGTCTCAAAGAAATAAAATCTATCACCACACTAAGGGATTTATTTTCTTATCCATTGATGATCACCAGTCTACACTATAGTCTTCTATGAAGTGCAAAAAAAAAAAAAAAAAATCCTCTTTCTAATGTGCTCCTCCTGGCTTTTGGTTTCCATTTCCAACATTCTAGCTTGCAGCAACAAACCAGACTAACTTCACACCTGTTTCTAAAATAACACCTCTCATTACAAAAGATTAAAATCAAATAAAAGCACTAACATTTCAAAGGAAATGGATGAAATGCACAGCATCTAAAGTACTGGTATCTTCAAGGGTGGTAAGAGGAGAACCTTTCTGGATCCTGTGACAAACCCTTTTGTGACACTTGGCTCCAAGCTGCTGTGCTGAACAGGACACATGGTCACATTCAGCAAAAGGGGTCTCCCTCTGGCCACCTGCTACATTTAAGAACAGGCATGTTGGCTTACTCTTCTTGCTCATGGTTATTTGACAATATTTTTATGAGTATTCACTTTCTAGCTCCTTCCATTTTTTTTTAGAAAAAAAGTTTAATTAGTAAGAAAGTATATATATATATATATATATATATATATAGCATGAAGAGGCATATTGTGACAGAAATCTGGCCTTCATAAATATAATATACTTAAACATGTCTATCTGGTTCTAACAGATTTTTATGAAGTCCTGACATTCATTCAGAAATATCCTTCAGAAAAGTGTTATTAAGAAATACTCATTTTATTAAAGAAATGTACTGAATGCCAAACTATACTTTAGAGATAACTTAAAAAGGAACTTTATACAAGTAATTGTGAGATTTTATTATTTTAAGGACATGTGTTAGATTCGGGAGAGATGTTTATACTTTACATCCCAATGTCACCTCTCACTTAGGAAAACCAGGCTTTAAATTGATGAGTCACAATTATCAAGAGAATTCTCTATCTCTAAAAGTTTCTAACTGTGTCTCTTTCCCATTAGGTTATTCTTGGTTGCTTAGAGTGAGACAAAGAACAAACTGTTCCAACCCACGTACTGTTCCAAATGGGGACTGGATGCCTATGAACTCTGATCCGAGGCCTGGAAAAAGAGTACCACAGTGTCAAAGATGACTGTGCTGACGTATCAAGGCAGGGGAATGTTATGAGCTTGTGGGAAGAATGAAGAAAGGAACAGTCATTTCTAAGAGGGAATTTTCCCTAGGGAAATCAAGAAAAATATTTATAGAGCTTTCTCATCTTAAAACTATTTCCTTACTGTCTTTGGGGAAAATACATCTTTTTGAAAAACTCACATATATTTGAAACTTTGTATTACATTTTATTACAGCTAAACACACTTATGCACAGACTCCTGCACACAGCTATTTTGCTGCACAGGAAGAGTTAACTGCTTTTTCAATATTTCATTTTGCTTTAGTTTTCTGATATTTATGAAGACATAAATAAGAAAGTTACTTAAATCAGCAACTCCTTGGGAGAGACAGTCATACATAAACAGGCTTTTAGTTATTGTATTTAACCAGAACTCCTAGAAAAGCTAGTTTAAGTGGATTCTTTTTTTATTATTTTTAATTTATCAAGAAAGATCCCAAGTATCTAGACATGGCTATGACTTAATAAAATGAAGAAACACTAAGATAAAAATAAGAGTGGCAGATTTAGGAATTTAGATTGAACATGAATGTCAGCATCCAATATCAGCTATAAGGTTAATAGTTCAGTATGTGTAGATGGAGGTCAGAGAAGAGATCTGGCACAAAGACCAAGTTGGGAATCATTGCTTTTCCAATGAAATAAATACTGATAGAAATGGAAATAGATCAATCATTTACAGTAAAATTATGTTTATGTGAAGAAAATAACGCAGAACGCTAGGAGAGGCCTATATTGACAGAATGACAGATAAACATTTTATACTCCAAAACATACACACACATATATACACTCACTCTTTATATACTATTATCACTGAAGATATATGAAATATCTTCCTGGCTACAGTTTTCTAAGATCTGTACATAACAAATACAGGCAAAAAAAGTAATGTTACAATACTTTATACACATAATTTGGACATTAAACAGCATGACATATACTACAAGGTAAAACAAATGAAAACTATCTGAGAATTACATTTAGTTTTCAAAATACCTATACTGCTCTTCACCAGTATAAACAAAGATAGCCACGGCATCTTTTCCTTTGGCATATATAAATGTGGTTTTCATAAAAAACATTCTTATGAAAAAAATCAAATTTAAATTTAGGAAAATAGGAAGTTGAAGTTCAAATCACATAAAATGTGAATTTGGAGGGCAAACTGAGGCTGCTGTGGGTGATTAGATTAAGATGGTGTGACTGTACACAGTTGAGAATACAGAGAACTAAAAAAAAGAAGGAAGAGGAGAAACAGAAGAAGGAAGAAGAGAAGGAAGATGAGGAGGGACGACGAGGAGAGGAAAAAGAGGAGGAAGATGAAAGAAGGAGGAGGAGACAGGAGGAAGAGGAGGATGAAGGAGGAAGAGAAGAAGGGGAGGAGCAACAGCAGAGGACAGAGGAGGAGGAGGAGGAGAGAGGAAAGAGGAAGAGGAGGAGGAGAGAGGAGAGGAGGAGGAGCAGCAGCAGTGGATGGAGGAGGAGGAGAGATGGGAAAGGAAGAAGAGGAGGAGGAGGAAAGAAGGTGACATCAGCAGCATGTGTTTGTTGACTATTAATAATGTGCCATACATTGGTCCAAATCAATCATGGCTCTTCAGCCTCAGCACTGCTGACATTTTGGGCCAATAGTTCTGTGGCAGGAGGCTGTCCTGTACATTGTAGCATGTTGCTAAACATCCTTGACTTCTGACTGTTTAGATGCCAGTAGCATGCCAAGTTGTGACAACCAAAAAATATCTGCATGCAATACCAAATGTCCCTGAGAAAAAGGGAGAGGAAGGAGCAGTGCCCCTGGCTGACAGTCTCTGGTCTAAACGCCTTACACATACTACCTGATTAACATGCCACACTTATTCTGTGAAGGGCACACCATCATTTCCCCCACCTTTCACATACTGAAATTCAGATGGAATTATTAAATTGCTGAAGGCTATGTGGCCAGCAAGTGATGTTTCATTATACAAATTCCAATATGTGTGGCTCTGGAGTATGGATTCAACTGCCATAATATATTAGAATGTATACAAATGCACACATCACATGGTGGAAAAAATGTCCTGCTTCTCAGAATTACTTAGCAGATGAGAAACTAGGAGAGAATTTCTACAACCTGTGGAATTCTGAGCCAGTACAAAGGATTTTTGTTTATGTCTAAGCATTTAATAGAATCAACAATTAACATGGGATTTTTTTGGTGAGGTTAGGGTTTTAACTCAGGGCTTCATGCTTTCTGGGCAGGTACTGCTTGAGCCACACTTCTAGCACTGTTTTCTCAGGCTTTTTTTTTTTTTTTTTTTGAGATAGGGTCTTGCGTTTTGCCAGGATGGCTAGGATTGAGATCCTCCTATTTTATACTTCTCACCAAGCTGGGATGACAGACACATACCACCATGCCCAATTATGTCTTAAAATGTGGTCTTGCAAACTTTTTGCCTGGGTTAGCCTCAAATCATGATCGTCCCCATATCAGCCTCCCCAGAAGCTAGGTCGTAGCCAGCACCCAGCTAATAAACAATAGTTTACTCAGTGGTGCTTTTAATTCACAGAGAAACTTTTCTACCTCCCTGGGAAACTTACGGTCCACCGGGAGTTGCTTGTATCTCTGGTTGTCTCTCACGATACCGCCACCGCTGTCACTGGAGCTGCTGTTTTGACGAGTGATATTTGCTGGGACCTTGGGCACAGGAACAGGTGCTGGCACGGAAGGCGGAAGTGGAACAGGAACGGGAGCTGGTGTGGGAGGAGGCGATGGGGCTGAAGGGGTATCAGTTGGTCTTGGCCCATACTCCATCCTTTGTTTCTATAAAAAGACAAATAATTAACTTGTCATTTAAAATATGTAAACTTGGGCTAGGAAAACAAATTACATATTGATAGGACATTGTTGGCTATTTATTTCTAAACTTACCTGCAAACTCATAACAAATTGTATACTCACATACACACTTCTAATCCTGATGGTATAATAATAGCTAAAATCATCTTTTAAACATTCTCTGTCCTTGATCAAAGTGGACATGTGAGTTAAAGGAGTATCAAGAACATTCCAAGAAAAAATAATATTACAATAAGTGTCAAGAAAACTAAATTTGGACTTGGAATTATTTAAGACCAGAGTTTGTCAAACAATCTCTGATTATTTCACAACTTACACTAATAATAATTTCTAATGGCATCACAAGTGAATGTCAATAGTACTAAGTATCACTTACTCCTGTTTAAATGTATACTGCCCATGCCCAAAGGGCTGTATAATCGCTTCAAAGGACTGTGTACATCCTCGAAGGATTGTACACATGCTGATTTTAAGTAATTTATAAAGGGAAGAGGCAATTTTCTAGTAAGTAAAGGGAATATGCTTTTAAAATAAGCAAATCATGTTGCTATTAATATTTTTCAATGCCTTCCTGCCACCATCATAATTGTAATTTACTGAAATTAGAAATTTTCCTTGTGAAAATGTGTATGATGTGGGTTAGATGGTTGTGAGGGCTGGTGAATGATCCTCAGGGTTGAGAGTGTGGCTCAGTGGTACAGCACACTTGTCTAACATGCACAAGGCCCTGGATTCTATCTCCAGCACTGAGAAAAAAAATATGGTCTTTAAACACTTATGACTATAACTCACAAATAAATCAGAAACAAGGGCATGTGGGGATTTGCATTTTTAAAATCATCATTAGGCTATTATAAAACCATTTGTGTATATGCTTTATTAAAATACACGATAGTTAAAACCTTAAATCTGAACAAAATAATTCTTATTAGTAGACAACAGCATTTGTAAGAGGCTCCAAATTCTCAAAAGGCACATCTTCTTTGCACAATCAAAGATACAGAGAGCAATGACTTACAATTGAGGTAAAGTGTAAATACAGCACCAACACAATTTTAATTATTATAAAATTTAGGGTTAGCATATAAGAGGCATAATGACCTTTTGGTAATTTGGTCCTTTAATTAAATAGTATTTACTTTTAAGTTCTCAGTTGGCCCAAATATAAGGTAATACTAGATTTTAAGAGAGTCCTCCCCAATTTCCACAGAGATTAAAAAAAAAAAACCATAAAAATACACACCACACACATCATTTTTAAATTAAACCATCACTCAAAAAACAACATGCCAACCTTGGCCGAAGTGCTTTCACAGCAAATGATAAACACCTGTGGAAAGACGTGGGAAGGAGTCTCATTCTTTCCTGGTGTCTCCTAAAAGCTACCACTCACCAACCAGTGGAAGGTAGAGACTGAGTTACGCAAGGATGAAGAGGACTGAAAGAGGTTTTTATGATGGTGCCAGATACTGAAGGGAAAAGGAGGGTCATGAGGAGAGAGGCATGCACGGAGAGAGGAGGAGGAGGAAGGTAAGATTCTGACATGAAGTTACACAGGACAGAGACAGGCTGTCAATTTTTAGCAGCATTCAGGCCTGGACACATTTCTAATAAATTCAGTAATACATATTCAGTAAGATATTACAATGCATTATTGTTTTTATCACACCTCACAAAATAGTTTTCCTACATTTGGGCCAATAAAATACTTAAAAGCAATCAAATAGAGCAAATATCACCAGAATGTAATACTTGGCACATTCCCAGTCATCTAATATATATGCACCGTTCCTTTGACAAGGATGTCCTTTGCATGTAATTTCTTGAAGGGTTAGTGAATTCTCACAATAATGTCTCAAAAGTATTAGCATTTATTCTTTTTAAAGCTTACACAAACAAAAAATGCTATTACCTCTGCATTCTCTGATATGATTCATAGTCTCTGCTTTCATAAAAACAAGAACAGCTAGTGTTTTGCTATCCATCAAATAATACTGGGAAGAACTGAATACACTGTGTGACCCTGTCACAATTGTGCCTAAAAACAGGCTTGCCAAATGTTCCATGCCTTGCTTCATTCATCTGCCACTGAGATACAACACAAATATATCAGTATAACCTAACAGCACAGGTTTTAAAAAATAAAACCTATATGACAATTTCTATGACTTATGCTACAAATTACATTTAACTTGCACAATATTTTCCTCTGTTCCTAGTCCTTTCCTCCTGCCTCCTGCTTCCAACCTCTGACATGAAAAGAAGGGAAAAGAGTCCCCTTGAATCACTGTAACCTACACTGAAATGGCAACCAAGACAGCTTTTCAGCAGACTGGTTTAGAATTCTCAGCATGGAGGAAAGAGAATCTGTGTTGGTTCCTCTTCTGTGTCCCTCCCTATCTTCTCCACTCTGTTTTACCTACTGCCCAACTTCTGCTCTTCCTTTCACTCTTTCTGCCTCTTGGCTATTTGTAGTTAGAGGCACAGAGCTGGTGAACCCCCATGCACCCTTAACTTGCGGAAGTCTTGGGGACAGTACTTTACACAGAGATTTTTTTTCTCCCACACCAAAGGTACTGAAACTCCAATAAGTAATCCTGGTCAACTCTTCCAACTTTGCCTGAGTCTTTCTCAGTAATTAGAACAGAAAGTCCTACCTTCCCACAACCCTCAAGTTTCATCCTATCCCAAGTTTCCTGCAAAGCAGGCAGTATGGTCACCTGATGTGGACTCGTTTTTGTACCACAGTGTCACTTCCTAACTCTCACCCATTATCCCTTAGGAATGTAAAGCTCGGTTCAAAACAATCTCCCTTTTTCTTTCTCTCAAAGAAGTCAGAACTATTAGACTAATAGGAAATTTATTTTGTTATTGATAATGAAGTTGGAATGAGTCACTTTTCTTTAACAACTAAAGCTGAGTAAAAATTTTCAAGTATTAAAGAAAGTCATTGAGACAAATGTTCCTGATTCATGTGAGATAGAACCTCAGGGAGGAGGAAATTATGCAAGTAAGCCCAGAAAAGCCGTTTAAACTGAACTGTTCTTGTTCTTTTAACCTACTCTGAATTACACATTTTTTTTTCCTCTAAATTTGGTCTCTCTGGAACTCTGCAGTGAAAACTAAGCACAGCTGGAACATTTGGAGGGCGTTAAGTCCAGAGACTGAATTCAAAAAATTATATTAAAAAGAATTGCCAGGAGGGAAGGAATGTGGGTTACCTCTGACAGCTCACCAAGTAATTGCTATTAGCAAAGTGGAGCAAATCACATTAAAAAACAAAATTAACACAAGAGACAGAACTGAAATAATATCAATTATAATTGGCATCAAATACCAGCAAACACGAGAAAATCATTTTTGGACAGTAAAATTACCTGCCCACATGTTAAACCAGTGAAAGAGCTTATAAATATATAAGAGCTTATAAACTAAACTTGATAAATACTTGATAAATAATATAGAATATTCCAGTAGCTACTCTTTGAGTATTAAAATATTAAGATACAGGTTCATTTTATTCTTATACTTTAGAAAGAATACAAGCAAAGTGCATTTAATATAAGGCTAGTTCTTATTTACTAGCCAATTTTATAAAAGGAAATATATACCATGGCATGGTTTTAATGAGTTTTAGTTCTGAACTTGAAAGCAGTCTAAATGTAGAACATTTCATAATTATGTACATGTATATGTGAGCAGTAATTATTTATTTTAGAGTGGCTATTATTCAAATTATCTCAAGCTCAATCCAGATGTTCAGATACTGCTGGACAGAGTGTGAATGTCTGAATTGGGCTTACAAATCAAACATTCATAACATGGGCTGAAATTTAATAGTTACCTCCAGAAAATTCTTCCACTTTGAATTGAGTGCTATTTAAACATGTATATAGAGGATATGAGAATTCTGTACCTAGACTAGATTACAGAGGTCATGTACCTGACCCCCTCTATTTCACAGCTAAGTAAATTAGAATACAGAAAAATACAATTCTCTTTAAGGTCACACAGCTAGCCAGTGGCAGATCCAAGACTGGAATCTTTATCTCCCAATACACAGATTGGGGCTTTCCCCACTGTATCACAATAGCTAGGAAGCAGAAAATGGGAAGCTCTGTGTTAAATTTATAAGACCACAAAGAGTGGACTTTCATAATTATTTTGTACAGTAAGAATATCTATAGTAATAATAAATGCATAGACTTAATATTTAATATTTAATAATAAATAAAAGATCTCTTTGATCAGGACATTGGGTGTCCACAGGCTGGTGGAGTGGCTCAAGTATAGAGCACCTGCCTAGCATGTGTGAGGGCCAGAGAAATAATAAGAGAAGAGGAAGTTTCTGGTTCTATAACATAGAATGAAATCTCTGTAATTCTAGTAGATGGACAGTCATGGTGCTGGAAGACTGTAAATCAAAACAAAAGAAACATGAGGAAACTTTAAGTGGTAAGTAGATTCTAGCTAGGGTGGAGAGGAGGCACCTTGGAGGTCCATCTATTACCCAGAGAAAATGCTGCAAAGCCCTTGAATGCTCTAAAACAACATTTTGCTTTACCAAAAGACAAGTCATTTTCCCAAGATCTTTCAAAAGCATTTAATTCTTTTGCCCTGTGGTTTTGTTCAATCTTTCTAAAAATATGTATTCTATATCTTTTGTAAATTCTTTTTTACCTCCCTCTCTTTTTATTTTTAAACTTTTGCTAAAGCCATGGGAGAAACACATTAGGTGAAAATATCTGTCTTTAGAGAGCTGTTAAAATTCACTCCAAATGTGAGGATATTAAATAGCTTGGACTCTCAGGAGATCAGATGACAACTCCACACCTGCTGGTGCCAGGTACAAGCATCCCCGCCACGGAACAGAATCTCAGATGAAAAGTGTATGAACAATAGGCGAGGGCTGCACTACTGGAAATGTGAGGGGATGAAAATGACCGTCACAACTGTGTCCACTTTTAAATTACTTGTGACTTATACAAGTTGCACAGAAATAGTTTACATCTAATTTTCCTGTTTCCACCATTCACAAAACATCCACATTCTCTGTAATTATATAATTTGGGTTATTTTCCTAAATGATACAAAAACGAACAACTAGATAGATTCACAGGACGAAAATCTAATTCCATGAATTATGACTGACCAGATGAACTGTTGCAGCTTATGATGCATGGCAAAGCTATTCTGAGAAAATATCCTAGGTATTTAATGAAAAGCTGTGTGTTTGCAGAGAGAGATGAAACATTTTGTAAACCCTGCTCTCTGTAATAGCAGAGCGCATCAGAATTGGGGCTCTGGTTTCAGAGGGATGCTTTCCAATCCTGGCTTCGTGCAGCTGTGTAACTGTGGGTAAGTTATTTCTCTTGCACCTAAATTCCCTATGTAACATGTGTCTACTCCACAGGGTTGTTCAATCTGTATTTCTGGAGTACTGAAGGAATGGCCAGCTCAGCATGAGTACTGACCACTGGCATTAAAACTACAGTACCATTGCTCTCTCTGAGTGTACAGTGGTGAATTATTAGATGTAATGCTGTGGTATAGTGTTGGGATCTAAACATTTTTGTTAGAGGAAGCTTCATTACATTTCTTCCAGTTTTGGTATCACCGAATGGAAGGGGTAAGGGGTAGGGGATATGTCTGAGGAGGAGGGAAGGTCATTGCTCTTAATACAGCAGCACAGAGAAGAAGGCGAAGTCATGGCAGATGACCTGGAGATGAGGTCGTACAGAAGGCTTTTAGGGAGGATCTGCCGAGTGCTAGGCTTTCTACATTCTTTCTGTCAAGTGCGAGATGCTGGACACAACAAATATACTTCAATGAATAAATGAATGAAAAGAGGAGGAGACATGAATTCTGATCCAGTTGAGCTGCAGAAGGTGAGGGTTTTAGGACCACTGGAATATACACAAATGTGGTGGTATCTTTATTTCACTCTGAAATAGGCTACAGGATTTTTCTTTAAATAAAGGCATCAATGAACTATTTCAGAGATATAAAAATGACTGGGATATGTTTCCAAGGATGTTTTCTTTTGTCTTACTCTACTTTTCTTTCAATAAATGTTACAAATTCATTGAGAATAGAAATCCTCTCACAGCAGGATCTGTAGATAGCAGACAGAAGATTATCCAAGCTTGCTAGTTAAAACTTTACAAGATCTTGTCACTTTTGTTGGGCTCAGCCCAAAATTTTCAGGAGGTATTAAAAGGCAGATTGTTTTTAAAGCCTTTTAAAAGTTGTGTCCCCAATCTAAACACCCCCCCACACACACACAGAGAGAGAGAGAGAGAGAGAGAGACAGAGAGAGGGAGAGAAAGAGAGAGAGAGGGAGAGAAAGAGAGAGAAACCTTCTACACACATTTCTAATATACCACTGCATTCATAGCTTCATCCAGAAATTTTCAAGAGACAGTGAGAACCTGTTGAAAAGCTTAAAAGGAAAGACCCAAAACAGGCAAACCCCACAAGGACCACAAGTTTCTATTTACTCAACGTAGCAAAATAAACTGCTGAAACTAGTGAGCACTTAAAAAATTCTTGTTTGTGCCAAAGTTGACAAAAATATAAGATAAGGTTCTGTTAAAGAAAGGAAAACAGACTGTATGTTCTCTAAAAGTACTCTCTGCCTATGAAATATACATTGTTTTGGTTCAGTTTTAGACAGAAGCAGCTTTAAACAGAAAAGTCAACTTGTGGCTCAAGCCAGGAACAGAACTGAAGGAAAAAGAAGACTGAACAGTAAACAGGAAGAGGTAATAGACATTAAACTTTCCTAGGAAATCACAGCCGGAGGGAGATACTTAGAATTTATGTTATTTCCAAGTTTAAGTATTTAGCTTTTTGGAGTTTGTCTATTCCCACCAGACATGCACACAAAAATAATCTTGGGTAATAGCTTTCAACACTTAAAATATAAACTCTTGGCTTCTGTTCACATGTGGGGATTAGGAATATCTTTTGTGAATAGCGCTTCTTATAGCTTCTTGAATTAAATGTTTAAAACGATTCCTATACTTCAGAGGATAAACACTCCCCCAGTGTTTTAGGCATGTGTTTAAAGCATATATTTTATCACTGTTTAAGGAAAAGGTCAAAACCTCTATAGGAAAGAAAATGAAAATCTGGCACTCAAAAATCAGACAGAAGCCTATATTGTGTCAGGTAACCACATCTCATACTCAGAAAAGTTGAAACACAAGAAAAAAAACCAGTATTAAAACTAAGAAAATTCACTTCAAAAACCCATGGGAAATAGAGCAGATCATACCTTGAATAACTCAAACTCCTTCTTTGGCATCAACAGCTAATGACAAATGAACATGAAATAAGTTTATAATATATATGTGATGTCAGGCCAGCAAAACACATGCACAGCAAACACAACTTCTGTTGCCCTCACTTGCAGTTATCAAGATGTAGAAACCTACAGTAATTCTCTATTTTCTCTGTTTTATTCGTAGATTCTAATAAGGTCAAGTCCCTCTGGAGAAGTACAGGATCTGTGTCATGAGGAACCATAGTACATAAATAACTCATCATGGCAACAGGAAGAGTATGATAATTCAAGGACTAGATGGTGTGCATTTTTAAACTCCTTCCTGGCAATAAAAGTGAACTGCTTCACAGTATATTCCTTATAGCTTCTATGACATTATTATGGCATCAGGTATGATGTCTTTCTCAAGATCCTGAAAATTAAAAGAATTCTTCCTGAGGGACTGAGAAAAGGGTTACTCCAGGTTCACTGACTGCATATGGGAGAACCCAGTCATTCCGGCTTTAATGGCAGATCTTGCTCTACAGTGCATCACAGGTGTAAAATCCCAAAAGCTTAACAGTAAGTGGGGCTGGGTACAGTGGCTCACACCTATAATCCTAGCTATGTAGGAAGCAAAGATTGGGAAGATAAAGGCTTGAAGTGAGCCCTAGCAAAAAGTTCGTGAGACACCATCTCAACCAATGGCTAGGCAGAGTGGTAGGCTCCTGTCATCCCCAGCTACATGGGGAAGCATAAATAGGAGGACCACAGTCTAGGCCAGCCCAGGCATAAAGTCAGACCCTATCTCAAAAATAACCAGAAGAAAAAAAAAGGCTGGAGGTGTGGCTCAAGTGATAGAGCACCTGCCTCACAAGTGTGAGGGTCCTTAGTCCAAACCTAGTACCGAAAAAAACAAAAACAAAAAACAGTGAGTTCCAGCTGTCATGGTGAATAAAATAACTAGTGTCATTGAAATCTTAACATGTGGCATGGGCTGCAAGAAGTATTCTATGATCAAGAAGAGAGAACCCACTCTATCTAGTCATACCATAAATACATTTTAACCACAAAATCAAGAGAGGAAAAAATATTATAACTCAACTGAGCAAATATTCATATATTAATCTAAGGTGAAATGAGTACAAAATCAAGGCTGGTCAGAGGCAAAACACTGGAGAGACTCTGAAGGCACAGGCTGGAGAAGAGGAACTGCTGGACACTCCAGCCGTGGTCTCAGTGCTGCCATCTATCATGGGAAGCCACTGGTGGACAGGAGCACCATGGGTAAACAGACAAATACTACTTCTGCAAATGCCAGAAATATTATAATCATGGGAGGAAAGTGCTCAGAGAAATAGTCACTAACTGCTAAACTGTTTTCAACAGTTACCTTAGGAAATAAATCTGGAAACATACATGATTCACTGCCTCTCATCATTGCCCCTCAATTGCTCTAAAAAATGTAAAACCAACTAATTATCAAAATGATTAACATACAAAAGGTATTTAAATTCTGCTTATGAGTGACAGACTTGAAATTTTTTAAATATTAAGTTTTATTATGAGATCATAACTACCTGGATTGTGTGTGTGTACGGTGGGTCAGCACGCCCTAATCCAGAATCTGGGGGTCTCACGATATCAAGAATGTTGTTTGGCACAAATCCAGAGTCTCCGCTTGCATTTCGAACTTTCCACCATTGCTTCCTATCATCGAGTATCTGTCATCATGCAAGAAAATAAAGGCAAAATTTCCATTAGAAAGCCAATCCATAAAGGAGGTTCAAATTTTATTCCTAGATTTTAAGCAATAAATTTTTTCACTTCTGATGCATGAACTCAACATCAATGTACGAATTCAATGATTCTCAGGAGTTACACTAAAAGTTACATTTACTACACTAGAACAGTTACAGTATCACTACAGTGAATCTACCCAACATCTGCGTTACCTCCCAAGAATGTATCTATATTAGTTAAGGTGCTTATATAATACTAAGATGATGTCCTGAAAAGCTCTATTATCCTCATTTATATAACAGAAAGGAAAAGTATGAAAACTCTTTTCTAACAAATTTTACTGTTATCATTTATCTTATATATTCAAGAAGATGAACTCTCAGTCACAACCTAAGAAAGAGATTTGGGTGTCATAGTAGACTATTCCCAACACCATTAGCCAATGGACTGCTGGCTACATTTTGACAAGGATACTAGAAGAGAAAGAATGAAATGTTTTCCTTCATTAAAATACTATGGTGCATCTACAATGAATTGATAACTAGCCTTGATTTCAAAGTGAATAAAGCCCAGAAGAAGGAAGACAACAATGTAAGTGAAGAAATCCATCCCCTCCTCACCCCAAATATTATGTAAGTTCTACTTGAATATGCAACACTATTATCGGGTCAGATAAACTGATAAAGTAGTTTCCCTTTCCAAATACAGATATCGATATCTACAATATACTGTACTTAGTCATGTAAGAAAAATTTCTTTACATCGGTATTTCTTTCAGATCTACAGCAAAAGAGGATACAATAAACCCACTTTATTAACCGTGTAAAAAACATAAAATTCTATTACCTCTAAAATATCATCCTTTAGAACTGAGAGCTCACTGTTGTTCCTTGCCACAAAGTCATACTTGGATTTGGCACATTTCTTGGGCTGTGTTTTCTGTGGGTCATAATTTCTATAAAAAGAAAGTAAAAAGACTATTATTCTACTTGCTCTTCCTAAAGGGTGAAAGCAAAAGTAAAACTTTATAGGGTAAGCCAAATTCTACCAGAAAACTTTCTGAAAAATTGTTTAGCTGATAGGTTAGTTCTATTATAGTCTTACAGAATATGAAAAATAAATAGAATCTTAGGTTCTTACAATTAAAAAATAAACTAACTAAAAAAATAACAAACTTTTACTAAGGTAAAAATAAATGCTGCAAATTCACACAGCTGGCTGGTATTGAACCAAATCTAGAATCCCAAACCCATGAATTATTTGTCTATTAAATATACATTAGATATTGTTTTATTAATCGGCATCTGCACTATGAAAGGACTAGATAGAGGATAAATGCTATTATTTTTATAAAATTAAAGGACACTGAAGATAATTTCCATAGGCTAATTTAAGTTACATGCTCATTTAATTAATTCAATCTCTTGTAACCAAATAAATGTGTTAAAAATTATGATTAGGTGTCAATTTTAGGAAAGCTCTGCCCATTTGCCTAGATTTCAAGGGAAGGTTCACATTAAGTACAAGACCAGTGACACTTCAAGGTAAATAAGTAAGTAAAAATTTTAGCTCACTATAAAAATTTTAAATGTTAAGAACAGATGTATGGGCCCTGCATTTTTTTTTTTTTTAAAGGAAACTCTTTACACAGAATAGGGGAAAAAAGGGCAAGGAAGTGCACTGGAGGGAGGTTAGAATGACTTAAACACAATGCATGTACAGGTGTAATACCAAGGCAAAAATCCCACTTAACAACAAACAGACACCTAAACACAAAAGGGTAAGAATGACAATAGGTCACGCTAAGGGTAGGGCACTAATGGAAGGGGGAGGGTTAAAGAAGGAAGTAAAGAACGTAAATATGGGTGTTATACTTTCTCTAAAAGAATACAGAATTTTAAAATCTGTTGGACTAACCATAAGAAAAGGACTAAGGTAGAAAGGAGAAAAATGGAGGGGATGGACCAATTCAGAATATAATACATGAATACCTGGAAAAATCATAATGAAACTCTCTGTATAGACATCTTAAACAAACAAAAATGTCTTTTTTTTTTTAAATGGAGAATAGGAAGGTAAAAACAGGTCCTTTCTGGGGGTTGGTACCAGTGGTGGGGGGAGGATACAAAGAGGCTGGATATGGCGGAAATATTACGTACCCATACAAAAATGGAAAAATGAGACCTGTTGAAACTATGGGGGGAAGGGAGATAAAGGAGAATGATGTAGGGCATGAATTTGACTAAAATATATTGTAAGTACTTTTGTAAATGTCACAATATTCCTCCAATACAATATGATAATAAAAAAATTTTAAGAGTAAGAAAACAAACACATACCAATAAGAAAGAAAACTGACACATGGAACCGTAAGGGGGGTGCTATAAGGACATCAGTAAGCGTATAAACATAAATAAATTGAACTACTTCATAGCTAATTTTTCCAAGAGCATGCAGAAAATTGTCATAAATCCTCTAGGAGCTAAAGAATACCATGTTTTTATAGCTAAAAGCCTTCAATTTGTGTTTAAAAATTCCCCACAATAGAATAAAAATAATTCTATATTCAAAAAAATTTTTAAGTGTAAACCAAATACCTCTGACAAAAAATAATTAGTATCAACAGGACTAATTACTTTTGAGATCTAACATAATAAAACTTGATGCATTAAAATGTATTAATGTTCCCTTCATATATTTTAATAACAAAGTGATAACTTTGACTCTTCTTTATTAATTTTACTCCTTAACCTCCTCCATTTACATGTCCTTGCCCTGCCCAATGCTCATTCCTCTTGCTGTCTACGATATTCTTGGCAATGTTGAGTTAGACCAAGGTTTGCAGGATGACAGCTGTAAATATAGGGCATCCTGTCAACATAGACATGCATTGACTCTTAGTAGTTCAGTCAGAGAAGGGAGACAGGGACAAGGGAAAAAAATGGCTTATAAGTTGTGCTACTACTGGCTATATCTGATATATTAAACAAAAAGACTGGTGGAAAACTAAAATTGTCACCAATTACCAGATATTATTAATAATTGTAATTTAAAACCTGTACTAAATGGATTCCCCATGCCTATCTCTACTAGAATAGCTCTGTGTTTCTCTATTTTATATACTCACATTATCTAAAGATTTGATTTAGGGGATAAAAGAGATTCAACCACCAAAGACAGAAAAATAGTCATTTCAGTTCTCTAACTTTGTCTTTTCCCCATGTTCCTCCTCTGATTTGCAAATCAATCACTGATAATAGGAAATTACTATATATAGGGTGCCACCCTATATTATCTACAGTAGAAAATCTCTCCGTCATCGGCTATCTGAATCAGTAAGTTGAAAAGTTTGTAGCAGTTGTCTTGACATTTCCACCATCTTGCATGCCACAGAAGCATTTACCTAGCATACACCTATTAAGTGCTTTAGAATTTACAAGTCTAGGGTTTACAGTTTCTTGTCATCTACAGATTAAACCTGGATATGATGCTGAATACAGTTATCAATGGGAAAGTCACAATTTGTAATTTTCCAGATGTACCAAAGTTACTTAAGAAATCCTGAATGTGTTAAAATGTATGGCAGCTGGTTTTGACTTGGAATAACAGACACACCACATGACATAGAGCACTAGTTACATCTGAATAGAAGTAAACTATAATCTCTCAATGGTGAGGGCTCTACATTTGACAAATGACGTGAGAATTTCACTGAGTAATGAGTTTACTCAATTACCTCCTACGGCGTATCTGGCATGAAAGAGAGATTAAAGTTTATCTAAAAACAGATTCCAGATGTCTGTGTATTTCATATCAAAGTAGAGCTTTCAGAATAATAACAAATTTTCTTAGGAACACAGACTTCAGTGATTCAAGCTGCTTCCTCAACTATCTCGAACACCAGCTAAGCCCAGGTGAAAGACACGATCCATATGGTCCCCCGAGATGACAATCTACCCTCTGCCTACTGATTGCTTACAAAGCCTTCCACTGGCTGCATTTTAACCATTCTAAGACTATTATTCCATCATGGGGTTTCCTCCACTACATACCATTTAAATTTCCTATTTATGACAGGCTACTAAAAAAAAAAAAAAAGACCTATGAAATTCAAAGCAGCCTTCTCTGAATGAGGAAAAAAAATATTGTTAAGAACAGTGTCTTATACATCACCTACCCTGTCCCATATAAGGCTCCTTAAGATAAATCTTTTTGAGAATTTAGCGTTAGGAAAAGAATTGTTTAACCTAATGAACTGATACATATTTCCTCTCACCCAAGTATAGCAAATGTGTGTACTTCTCTTTTTTCTGACAGACAGTAATCTTGAAGATGAATCTGAAATTCATAGTGTCAGCCCTTAAATTCATAAATTTTAATTCTTATCCTTACTCTAAATTTCCTAATTTTATTTCATTATTGATGTTTTAATTAAAATGTTAGTTTAAATGCATAAGCTTAAGTGAGTTTCTATATCAATATTGGAAATTTATGGTGTAAAAAGATACACCCAAGTCAATAAATCAAAGGCACACTCCACTGATACCTTATGAAGATCACACATAAAAAGGTAAACTTTTAAATGACATTGTGGTAAGCTGCCCAAATTAAATGGCATAGTATTCCATTGTAACCTCTAGATTTGTGGGTGAAGGTCAAGGAGGCAACGACTGAAATGTTGGCTACATTTATTCAGCCATTGGTCAATCAAGTCTGTAGTTACTGAGTGACCATAATGTGCTAGCAGTGGTCTTAAAATGGAACAGGATAAAGTTTTTTTTACTATCAAGAGGTAGTATAATGCTGAGCACACATGAGAACAATGGACTTAAGTGGTTTTCTGGCTAATTGGCTGTGGAAACCCATTTTGATTTACTGGGGTGACAGAATAAAAAGAAATGGTAGGAATTACTAATCTGAAACAATTTCTAGAATATTAACATCAAGACAGAAGGAAAGAAAAAAGAAAATATGGGATGAGTGATGAGTCAAGAATAGCAACGAAACAGTATTTAAGCATCAAAACTGACTTTCACCTGTATCTACTAAAATTAATTACACAATTAAAACCTATTCATATGTTGGCATTTTCAAAATATATGATTCATGGCTGACTTTTCTTTGCACCCAATTTAATATGTTACTGTTACCCTTAAAGTAACAGCTGTCCAAGTTCCATGACAATCACTTTAGCATTACTCTTGTTACCACCTCTGACAAGAACAATTTTAAATCCCACCTTGCTCAGATTTTGTAAGAAATGAGTATTTTGGGGGAAAGTGGCACACAACACTCATGGTAAGAGAGCTTTTGAGAGAGAACAACTTCCCTACCCTGCTTCACCTGAACAATCACCCTCCACATCCTTGTTCCCACTATTTCACCTGCATTTCTTTCATTTGTTTATATGGGCTGAACTCTACGTAAACCTCACTTGCTGCAAATCAAGATTGAGAAAAATTCTATTATTTCTTCTCTATCTTTACTTTCCACGTATATGACTATATTAAAATTCTAAGAGTAAAAATATAGGTAAGTAGGTGAAATGTGAAACTAGAAAGTAAAGATAAAAACAATGGGGCCTCCTAGTGCTCACCACAGGACATATTCTTACACTAACTGTATGGAAAGAGGAGGGAAAGTAATTCACCCATATACACCTTAGCCCAAGCCCTATGCCTGCTTTGTGTTCTGAATGGGAAGACATGGGGCACAAGATATAAGAATACAAGACATTGACTCCATGACTCCATTTAAATATTTAGTTGCAGCTAGTTTCAACCAACATTTCTATCTAAAAGGAGGTTTGTTTTTGTTGGACAAAGAAAAGTGGAAATTATTTCCTTTGTAAGTTAGAGCTGCAAAGCTCTTTAGAGACCATCTGGCACAAACTAACAGAAAAGTTTCAAGATAATTCTTTTGTCTCGATGCACATATTTTTGTCAGAAGTGGGTTTTCAAAAAGCAAGTCATTCAAAGGTGTTTGTGCTAAGTGAGAATTATAGACTGGAGATCCAGATTCTATCTTTTGTTCATAGAAGCCAGCTCTACAAAGGAACAACGGAAACTTTTTCAAATCATTAACAGAGGAAAGTTTAAAGAAGTAGTAGACAATGCAGGCATTGTTATCTCTGGTAGCCCTAAGCCCCAGTGATCCTGAGCACCCCATATGGTACCCATTAAAAATTACCTGTCTACATGGCGATTGGGAGCTGGCTTAAAAGCAACAGCGACTTCCCCTTGGTCCAGAGGTGGCCCCCTTGTGTAGTTGCTGTTATGGTATGTATAGCCATCATTTGAAGCATACTCTGGTGTGCTGGAATGCTGAAAGACAGAGCAGAAAAGACTAAAGAACCATGTTCACACTCAAGAATCACCAAATACTACTCAACAGAACCCTTCACTAAACTGTGATCAGTTTTCATTTTCAAGTGATTACTCATTATGGTACTAAATTACGAAATTAGCCAAAGACCCATGTAGAATAAGATAAGTTATTAGCACAAAGGCTAAATCTTAATTCTGAAAATAGCAATCATTTTAAGCAATAAGATTCTTTCACAAGGGATCTCAGTAATCACCACTGTAGCAAAGCAAATACTGACACATGAAAATCCTCTGCACTGTATATAATAGAATTGTATCACCTCATCTTTTTCATTTTTTAAAATGTATGCAAAACACCAGTTTTTAATTTTTTTTTTTTTTTTTACAAATGGCAGCACTGTTGTAAAATTTATTGTTAAGGGAAACAGAAAAGCACAAATACATTGATCTTGATAGTCAGGAATTCAGTTGACACAATTCAGACATGAATCTACAGGGTGCTTCCAAGAGAGACAGCTGAGATCTATGGGGCCCTCTGAGTACCAGGGTTTTTAAAGGTATGAAATCTACTTGTAGATGTCACATGGTTTCCTTATGTAAAATGAAGTATGGGAGAAGCATGACAGGTGGCGAAGCATTTGAATTCTTGGTATTTTAATTGATTGTGGACAAAATATTTGAAATGGGCAATGTTTCTGAACATTCCTGGATAGATTGTTGCTATAGGTAATTCTAAGGAGAAAGTTGGCAAGAGGAGATCGAGTGTCCCCAGTGGGCCGATAGTGATGTCAAAATACCCTTAAGACATTATTTCCCTAATGTAAATTAGGATACTGCACTTTAAACACAAATACAGATATTTTCAATCACTTAAGTACCTGAGCTCAGTCAACTCAGTTTTTCATTTCTCTTGGAGGGAACACTAAGTTTGATTACATAATTTTTTAAATTAAACACTGTTCTGTACTGAGTCATCCCTACCTTTTACCTAGTTCTGAACAGAATAATGTTAGGTTAGCCAGGTGAAATCACTGGGTCCTGAGAGTGACTGGCAGGGAGGGGAGTGACGATGCCACACGACTAATTGTGATGACTACACAAGCTGATGAGAGCTTCTGCTGGTTCAGAGGAAGGAGGAAAGCTGACACCACCTGACACATTTCTCACTCCCTGTCACCTATGCACTTCAATTCTAAACAAAAATCACCAGATCCTGAATCACCCAAGTCTGACTGTAAATATATTTACTATAGCGATAATAAAATATGATAAAGTTCCTCTTCCAGGAATGATTACATTTCTTATGCACTTTAAATAAACATTATTTAGGCTCTTTTCCAACAAAATCTCAAGGTATAAAATCCCCTAAAACGGCCAGCAGGCATTTTTCATTTCATTTTTAAACTTCTGAATAGCCTCTTAAGCCATAATATGGAAAATAGTTTATAGCAGGAAGAAGGTAACATAACAAGGAAGGATTCTCAATCATTCTTCTTTTAAAATTACTTATTCAGTGAGAGTAGATAAACGTATGTAATAGAAGCCCAGAACACAGGACTTGAATTTCTAAGACACACGTTATAAAGTGGGCAAATTTTCTTATTTAAAATATGAATACTGTAACTTGGAAATTCCTATAATTTGAAAATAGCTGCAATGATAGAAGCAAGGGTATCATAATTTCATCTTCGATTAGATTTTTCCCTCTAGAAAAGTTGCTTTCTAAATTGAAGAAAACTCAGAGTGATGAAATCTGAACTATAAAACATAGGCAGGGCCACATGCTTCCAACCACTTCTCAGAGCAGTGAGGTCATCTTAATTACTCATGGTGTAGAATCTAGCTCTTCCCATATATGAAGACAGTGGAAAAAAATTATATTGGGGAAAAATTATTTCAAAGCAGTATATTGGCTTTCTTTTATAAAATTCAGGAGTTTAACTGGTATTCTGTAATCATTGTTAAAGTTCAAAAAACAATGCCCCCAAGGAACAATTTTAAGAGATGCAATTTGCATAAATGTTTCCCCTTAAAGATGACCACAGGATGTTATTTACTGTGGTTTTCTAATTCATTCCTTCTTATCATGTTTGCCACATTACAAAAGCCTGTGGTAGTATTCGCTAGGGAATGAACAGGACTTCAGGAGCATCTAGTTATCATTTGCTATTTCCTTTTCAAACTAGGTCTCATTCATCTACTTCCTTGGGTTCTGATAATCCCATTTGTGTTGGGTTCAGTTTGAATCAGTGTTTAATTTTCTATTCTAATAGAACAAAAGGAATCACAGAAAAAATTCTTTTTTGCTGCTATAGATGAACTCAGGACCTTGCTCATGCTAAACAAGCCTCTACCACTAAGCTACATCCTTAACCCTTTATTTTTCTGGACAGTGTCTCCCTGTGTAATTCAGGATGGCTTTGAACTTGGGATCTGCCTCCACAGAGCTTATGTTCTGCTAGAAACATCCCTTTTAAGGAATGTGACAAGATAGTATACTCAATTTCATTCCCTTAATTTTCTCCTGAAATAGGTTAAACTCTAAAGCTTAATAAATATTTAAACATACAATAAACTGTATGAACTTCTGAGGATATAATAGTTATGTAAGTGATCATTTGACTAAGAAGACTGGAGCCCAACAAAGTCTTTGGTCCTCTAGCCAGGCTAACAGTACTCTGGAGGTTTAAAACTAGACAAAAAGAAGAAGAAAATAAAGGGGGAAGGGAGGCAGGGAGGGAAGAAAGAAGAAGGGTGTTCAGGAGAAAGCTGCTTGAGGCAGACATGAGGGTCTAGATTCAGGTAAGTCTTGAGTTTCTGACATAAACTCAGAAATCAAAAGTGCTTAGGATCCCTAGTGCTTAGGGTAGGAATGAGGGCTGACAGGCTGTGTAGGAGAATCAAATGGAGTTGGGGAGCAAGGCAGTAAAGAAACTACTTCAACATGACAAAGAGCTGAGAAAAAGGAACTTTGGACAGCAGGATAGGGTAACATTCAGTCACTGTTCTAGAGCAATTTTCAGATGAATTATAAGAGAATACAAGATTACTGAATCATTTACAAAAGATGAGGTTACATGACAACACCTCTGTGGACAGTCTTTTTATGTCTTGTTTGCGCTGATGTTCTGCCACGTTGGCCACCGACTCCGCCAGCTGATACAGGTCTTGCTCCACTGGTGCTCCCATGAAGGTCAGCATGGGGGGCTCCCAGCCAGTACGGAACCGCGGAACATATGGTGGAATGAACTGTTCTTTTGGCCACTCTGCTCTGTAAGAGGACAGTTACAGAAAAACCACATGAAGAAATTTCTCCATGCTCACAATTAACGTTAATAAGACTAGTCATAAACACAATATAGACTTCTTCTGCTCTTTATTTATCTAAGAGGGAAAAACCAACATATTTACATGAGTATTTCACACCAAGAAAATGAAAACTTCAATAATATAATGCACTGTGCAGTAGGTGTTGAATATTAGGGGAGCATGGTGCTAGACAATGAGTAACGGGGAAAGGAAGTTAATTTGAGTAAAGCAAGATACATACAGACCTGAAGTACCAAGGTGAGACCCCCTTGGACTATCAATATACACTTTTAAAAAAATGAAGGACAGGAGGGAAAAATAGGTCTTTTTCAGGGGGGTGTGTGGTAAATACCAGTGGGAGGTGGGTGGGCATAAGCAAAGGGGAATGAGGGTGAGTATGGTGGACATATTTTGTATCCAAATATGAAAACAGAAGAATGAAACCTGTTAAAATTGTTCTAAGAAGGGGGAAGGTGGGAAGAGGGAGAACAATGGAGGGGGTAAATCTAACTAAGATATATTGTAAACACATACGTAACTATCACAAATGTATCCCCTATACAACAATTATATGCTAATAAAATAATTAAAAAAGAAAATGAAAGATTCAATTCTGTAGCATGATTTGTTTTCACTACTTTGCCTCAACTCTTCATTAAATTCAACTCTTTGACATGACAGCTTGAAGGGTTCTTAGAATTGGTACAGAATGCCAATATGAAGCTAGAGTGTGATAAAGACATAATGAACATTAAAGTAGTTTCAGATTCTCATCTTTCCCTTCATCCCCCTCTTAAGTCATTATGAAGCCTCCCACTAATAGAGATATCTTCCAGAAGAGAAACAGCTAATCATGATTTTTTAAATGACAAAGTTTCTTAAAATTGAAGAGATGACCAATGGTATACATTAAATATGTCAGCTCAACTTTAATCAGTAAAGTCAACTATTCTGTGATAGTAATCACTATTCATCACCTAACAATGCTGAGAGAGATTTACTTCAACACACTCATGAGCCTCAAAAATAACTAGGACTAAAATTAGGGATTAACTTTTGCTACAATGTTTTTTGAACCTATCATACATCATAAAATTCTTCATGTTATATTTCTGCTATAATGGAATGAAACATTTTATTCTCACTGTTACATACCTTCATGATTCTTCTCCTTTAATGAGTTTTTAAATCAGTACATTCATTTCCTAATACTCTTAATCAGGATCTGAAATAACCCTTTTCTCATGTTAAGAGCTAACAATTTATTTCCTTCTGACATAGTCTTTAAAAGATCATTAATTTCTAACTTTGATGTAAGGTACCAAACAAAGTAAGTAAAGAGCCTGAGTTATTTTTTTCTGTGATATCTGATAGACTTAATAAGCTTTAGGGAAAAATACTTTAAATCCCACCTGGTCTTACCATGAAATCATAACCTGCATAAATCTAACACAGATTTCAGAAATCCACTTAAACAGTTTCTACATAGTATTACATATGAAAATAGCATGATGAAATTATACAGTGTAATGTATTGATGCATGAATAATATAAATATATTTATTTTTGATATGAAAGCAATAACTGCAATGTAAAGAAACTTCAGCTTGGTAAATCTTTCCAAGTATAAATTATATTCTAACACAAGTAAAAGCCAAAGTTCAACAAACAAGTGGGAGTGGTTGTATGCATTTCAGTAAAGATAAAAAGGACTGATGGAGTGGCTCAATGGTAGAGTGCCTACTTAGCAAGCATGAGGCCCTGAGTTCAAGCCCCAGTACTGCCCCGCCCCCCCAAAAAAACCAAATCAATAAAAAAGACAAAAAAATATGAACTGGTGCACACCTTTTAGGCAAGCCTATCCAAAAGCAGTAAGACAAAGTTCTAAATGACTAAGACTATACTGATTAATTTAGTCTAAATAAAAAGATTTGGATCAATGAGAAATCAATAATTATTTATTTGTCTATGACATTAGAAATATTTTTATAACTTGCCTTCCTTGGCAAGCTTATTAGTGATTTACCTTTCTCATTTTATTTACAAATGCACAATTCCAAAGTTATGTACCCTCCCTTTCCCTGCCACTGGAACTCCTCTATCCTTGGAGAGTATTGATAAGGAGTCTGTATTATAGCATTAACCAGCCTCTCTGCATCCAGTAACCTTTGTCCTTGGCCAAGCTAGGCCCAGTTACCAGGCTGCAATTTGAAAACATGGACATCATACTCTTGCTCACAAAGTTGCTGGTTCTTCACAGCCTACAGAACCATGCTCCAGTTCCTTAGTATAGCCTTCATAACCCAGTCCTGCTTATCTCTGAATGCCTCATGAAACCCATTCCTCCTCCATCCTTACTCTATAATCAACCACTACCCAAAGTCCACCCGACAGGTAAACCCTTATCTCTGGATGTAATTGCTTCATGCTCCAGTTCCTTAGTATAGCCTTCATAACCCAGTCCTGCTTATCTCTGAATGCCTCATGAAACCCATTCCTCCTCCATCCTTACTCTATAATCAACCACTACCCAAAGTCCACCCGACAGGTAAACCCTTATCTCTGGATGTAATTGCTTCATGCCTTCATCTATGCTTCTCTTTCTACTGAAAGGACCCTTCTCCGCTCTGTATTTGTAGAAATTCTATTCATCCTGCTGAAAGGCAGTTCAATGGAGGGATTGAACACTCACTCCAGGCTAGGGGCCTTCAGTTCCTATGTTTGCTCTGTCACTTAACAAGATGTGTGACTTTGGGAAAGTTACTTAACCTCTCTAGCCCTCTCTTTCTTCATCTGTAAAACTAGAGATAATAACAGTAAAGTGTATGGAAGAGTATGTAGCAAACACTGTGTGTACAAACACTATATGCATATGCATATATGTGTGGATTGTGTGCATACCTACACCTACTAGTATTTTTAGTTCTTAACTAAATGCCAGTTCTTCCATGAAAGCAAATCACCTTCCTCTCTAAATCCTCTTCCTAACTGCTCTACACTCCTGGCACTTATTGTGCCTTATGGTATATCCTTCTTTCACTAGACTTTAAGCCTTTTAATGGCACAAGCTTTTCACCCTTCACACACAGAAGGTTAAGGAAATGTCTCATTAGAACAATGCAATAAACAAAGAGCAATACATACAGAATAACAGACATTAAATCCTGAGTTCATAATTCCTTACCTGACTTTTAGCCAAGTTTCTCCCAATGACATCCACAGTTGCCGTTCCTCATTATTGACAGTATAATTTAAGAAATCAATTGTGTCCTTCGTCAATAAGGGACTGAGTACTGATCTGGCTAGTTCAGGGCCTCCTGTTGCCTGTACCACCTGGAATGAGAATAAACCAGTTTTAGCAAGAAGATGACTATTACTTGTATGTTTTAAAAATGTGTTCCCAAAAAACCCATGTCAAAAACAAGCACTGTCTATAGTTTCAAATTAAATTATGATGCTGTACAGTACAGTACTAAATGGAAAACTGTTTGCCAAATTGGCTGGCAAAATGATACCTTAAAATCTAAAATGAAAGTGAACAATCTTAAGAATGTTCACAATCTCTACTTATTGCTTGCCTATGACTATATGTCCCCTGAAAAATATGAATGGCTGTGCAGAAAATTGTCAGCTGACCTATCTGTATGATTTTCATTATTTTAAACATAAGTATCTCTACTGACCAATCTATTATACCGAACTTGAAGGATATGGTTTCAGAAATGAATAAAGTTGAAAGAAACAAGCCTCAAGTTGACAGCCCATGCTGTGACTATTCAGACAAACAAAAATAAAAGGACCTGGGAAGAAAGGAGACAGAATAACAACCAGTACTCTGATCTATGGTATTTTTCCCCAGAATTTGATTCTAGGGAATTTCTCTGATTTATTGTGGATAATTTGATGAATAGCAGAAAGGAACAGGTGCAGTGCTCTGATAAGCAAAATGACAGGGGGATGCCCAAGCACACTGCTCCACGCTCACTTCTCAGGAGCTGTTTCCTGGCTGAAGAAGAGTAGTTATCTTCTAGAGCAGAAACCAGAGCCCTATGTGAAAACCATGCCTTCTCAGAGATGTGGCACAAAAAGAAAGGAGAGTTTTTGAATGGCTCCTACCCAATATCTCTCCCATCACCAGATAATCTGGGCAAGCTGTGCTGTTTTATGCCTCTTGTATTTGCACATACTGTTCTGGTTTCCCAGAAGGCCCTGTCTCCATCACCACCTCTTCCAGGAAGCCCTTCCTCACCCTGCACCCAGTATCCTCAAAGCAATTTATGTGTGTTACTCACACATTACACTGTAATTTATGTCCATTTTTCAGTTTCCCCTCAGTCAAATACTTTTGCCTAAGATTTGACTGTATATTGCAGAAGACACAGTGTTAAGGGAATGAATGAAAATAATGAAAGAAAAGATGGATAATGGAGATCAGCTGACTCTTATTTGAGAATAAAACCACTGAAAATTTTCATTTCCAAGCCCTATAAACATTCCCAGAAAAATATGGAAGGAAAAGCAAGGAAGTAAAGGGGTAGCAGAATAGAGCAAATATTCGTGTAACAGAGGGAAGAGGAAGCAACCTGAAAGGAAGGTAGATAAAATGCCTTGAGCCCTAACTTCTTTCCAAGAAAGTGAGCAGCATGTGTACACACACCTGTGCTGTGGCTACACTTTTGCTTGCTGAGGGACTCCCCTCCCTTCTACCACTACATTTTGTCTGGCCCATACAGGCTCTGAATAATGTCCTCCTCATCTCCCTTGTTTAAGTAAAATGTCTGGGGCCCTGTAGAATCAGCATTCAGTGTAACAACAGAAGTACTGACTGGGAAGACCATTAATAAGGAGTCATGGCTGAGAAAGGCAAAGATAAAATGAATCATTTTTAAATGCAAAACCTGATCACAAGGGTTAATTGTAAACCAGTTTCATTGGTTTATAGTTCCACAATGTGTAATGATTAAAGATCTCATTACAATCTGAGAAAAAGAGGTATGTCAAAGACTGTCTTACAAACAACACTTTCTAATAAACAAGATAACATTATAGGTACTAAAGAATAAAGGATACTACTTTAATTAATGAGCTAGTATTGATTTCTTTGCCTATGGATGGCCTTGATCCTAATTTATTTTTTGTTGGTACTGGGGTTTAAACTCAGGGCTTTGCACTTGCTAGGCAGGTGCTCTATCATGTAAGTCACTCTGCTGGCCTGTTTTGATTTAGCTAATTTTTGGATAGGATCTCCTGCTTTTTTGGTTGCAATTGACCTGGGACCATGATCCTCCTACTTAAACCTGGGTAGCTTGGGTTATAGACTTATTTGTTGAAATGCGAGTTTCACTAACTTTTTGCTCCAGTTGATTTTGAACCACAATCCACCAGATCTCATGCCTTCTGAGTCACTGGAATTACAGGCATGCACCACATCTGGCCCCTGATCTAATTTTCAAAAGAGGTTATACAGCAAGAATTATTCAACAATAACTAGATGGAAATTTGCTGTTCTATACAGAGCAACATACGGACATAATCATACATCACTTATGTAGTCTTGAACTCTCATCTTCTAATCTGTTAGTGATCAACTTCTGACATTCCTGCTGATAACGTTACTTAGTTTTCTATGTTTGTAAAACAATACTCATTGCAAATTCTACTTTAGGTCTTGTCTGGTGACACCTACGAAAAGAAAGGATGAGATTTATCCCTTTTTGTTACTTAGAATCTCTCTCAACTTTTTCTGATATTGAATAAGCCCTCTCAAAAATGGTGATTTTGCCACCACATTCTTTATAAATATTAAAGGCTGCAATGATCATAATTTTCATATTTGGTATATCAGTATCAGAGAAATGAACTTAGGTCATAATGGTTAAAAAATCAGAAATTCTAGAGTAATCATGCACTATGAGCAATTCTCACAACTGTTACTGTTGCTCTATAAAACAGTCTGTTCTTCTTTTGATAGGATAAACCACTTACAAGCACTCTATGTAGTCCTGCCTTGCCCCATGAGACATTCCTTCATGGAAATATTTAAAAGAAAGAGATTCTGCCTTCTTTCTAATCTTGTCTCATTTGCCCTCCCCCAAGAAAAGGGAAATGAACTATTAAATTCACAGAACTATAGAAAAATATGCCTTTTGATGCTCTCTCTTTTGAGATCTTTGTGTAAAACCAACAATTATTCCATGTGCATTGGGCTGCCATGTCGTTTGCAAGTTTCAACCCTTTCCTATGTGCCCTCTCAAATCTAATTCTCCCAGCTGTCCTGGAAGGCAGGACAGCCCAGAACAAAATGCCAGCTTGAAAAATTGTTATTATGTCATATGCAAAAATAAAGCATATAAAATGAAAGGGAAATATACAATAAATCTGTTTTGTTAAACAAATAAGGGAAGAGCATACCTGGATATGGAAAACCTAGAAAACGAAGCTATGTATCTTGGGTTCTAGCCTCTAACATGAAAGGATAAACAAGTTGGTAAACTTGTGGGAAATCTTATGGAACTCATAAACAAAGAGAATCACTCCCCATATATCACTGTATTAGCTTCAAAGAATGTAACTAGTACAAATGTGGTGAGATTTCTCGGGGGAAACTGTATTATGTGCATATCAATACACCTGGCATTCATTCTCCTGTTCTTCCTGTTGAAAGAGAAGCTTCTACGTTTTAGATGGCACACAGTCACCTAGATGGGCAGTATATTCCTTTGCAGTTAGGTGGCACTGCATGAGGAAATTCAAGCCAATTGGATATGGGAAAAAATTATCTGTTTAAGTTTGGAGTCTCGTCCTTAAAGAGAAAGCTGTTTGCCCTAGTCTTTCTTTCCCTTTGTGTGGCTGTTACAAGGTAAGCCAGCTTACACCAAAGGCTATTTGACACAATTATTCAGTTCCACCTTTGGAAACATTTTATTTGGCTGTCAGAATACAGCAATTTCTTTTTCTTCTCTTCCTTTACTGCCTCTTCTTAATCTTCTTTGCTGGTCTGTCCCATTCACCTAACACTGAAAATGTCCAGGGTCCTGTAGTAATGTCCTCCAGTGCCTGCTTCATACAGATGACTCTCCAGTGCATCTCTAGGCCTGACTTCTCCACTGAACTCCACATTCACATATTCAACTCCCAATTCAAATCTCCCCTTCTAGAACAATTCAATTTTGACATGTCCAAAACTGAATTCCCAATCTTCCTTCAAAAATGTGTTCTACCTACAGTCTTCCGCATCTCAGTTACTAATCACACTGTCCTGCTGTAACAGGTACTTAGAAACTGAGCCTGATAAAAAGCTCTGACTCCTTACTTGCACCCACAAAGTAACTAAAACCAGGAGGAGAGCTTGGCATGCATTCCTGTCTCTGTTCTGTATCTGTCTCTGTTCTGTATCTGTCTCCTTTGCTCTAAATCTCTGTCCTAAAACCACCTTGGGTTCCAGGAAGAACAATACTGATGGATAATATCTTTATGATGAAGGACTTAAATTACTCTCAAAGAATAGTGGAGCCTCACAAGACAGCCACCTCCCAGAAGAGGACAATTACCTATGATGATGAGTGTATCCTGGAGCAGAAGTAATCATCCCATGGGAACCGACTGTCCCCTCAAGTGGTGACAGTACTAACAACTTCTCTGGAACTCCTTGCAGAATTAGAACTGATAAAATGATAAACCAGACTACAGTTTCCCTGGGACTGTTAAATTATGCATAACTCTCTTCCCTCACCCCAATTTGTCCTATATCTAGACCTAAAGGTCACATCAGAACCCTAAACACGGGTTGAAATGCTTTTTGCCCTCTTCTGGTGCACAACCAGCACAATATTAAATCTCCTTTCTCTGATCTTCATCACTACTCATCTTCTCAATTTGCACATTGCTTGACTGGCCAGATCTGACATGTGGAACCCCCAGAATTGGGCCTCTGGCCTACAACTGTTGGTTATGTTGCCTGTCTTAGGTCAAAGACCTTGGAGGCACCTGTAGCTCTTGCACGGCATACCCAATCCACTAGCAAATTAGTAATCAGAATCAGACTTCTCACCACCTCCAATGCTGGCTGGTGCAGGCACCATAAACTCCCATCTGGATTATGTTAATACCCCCTTTTCTCAATCTCTACCTAAATTTCTAAACAATGAAGCCAAAGCAATCCTCTTCTGTTGAAAATTCTCCATGTGTCAAAGGTCTCACAATCCCATATAAGGACCAATAAGGTGTGTCCTCCAAGATTGGAGGTGTGGTCCAAGCAGTAGAGTACCTACTTTGCAAGTGAGGCCATGAGTTCAAACTCCAGTCCCACCAAACAAAAAAGGTATGTCCTCCAGTTACCTTACTTCCTTCTAATACAACATCTTCCAATCGTTCCCCTTCATTCTGGTCAAGTCACAGTACCTACACATTCCAAGAAAATGCCCTGCATGGCTACCTCAAAGTACTTGCATTAACTGCTCTCTGCAGGGAACTTTTTCCATCAAGAATCCACATGACTCATTTCTTATTTCTCTTACTCTATGACATCCTCTCAGTGAGGGTTTTCTAACCAACTCTATTCCTCTGTTTTTCCACATAAGATTTAACTTTTATAAAACTGTATAATTTATGCATTCATTTATCCTACTGGCTATTCCTCCAACACTACAATGTAAGTGTAAGAAGGTAAGAAGTTTTGCCTGTTTTGTTCCAGAGGAGCTACTGTAATGATATTTACACAGGTTGCTGAATAAATACATAAATGAAGAAGCAGGTCAGAAGGTGAAAGAACACTCAGTGAAAAGAACTATGTACTGCCTAACTTCACACATGAACAAAGCCATCCATCCACACCTGGACTTCTCATGATTAACCTATTTTGTGAAAAAGATAAAAATGTCTGCATTATTTAAGCCACTGCATAGTATATGTAATATATACTAGCACATGTAACACAGTACTGTATAATATGTAACATATACTGTGTATACTAAAATAATATTCAATAAATCTTTTTATTTCCCCAGCTCTGCCAGAAATATCAATGACTTCACCTCTAAAAGAAGACGCTTTTCAGTGTTTTGTTTTGCTTTTGTTAGCTTGTTTCCTTTTGTGGTGCTAAGGAGGGAGCCCATGGTCTTACATATGCCAGGCCAGTGCTCTACCACTGAGCCACACCCCCTGCTTAAAGTAATGATTCCCAAGGTCCTTTTAAACTCTCAAATTTTACATTCTCAATGTTTACACAGATGGTAAAGAAACAGTACCTGTTGGTAATGATTATCTTATTAAATTAATAATATCTTACCATATTTAATGGAGTAAACAAAAAATGAACCAAATCTGCAGCACTAGGGTTCTGGATGTGAAACTTCAATTTGGCCTGGAACAGTAAGAAAACAAATATTTTACTATGGTATACTCAAGCAAAAGACAGACACTTAAGAAGAGGTCCAGTGTAGACCCCAGGGAAGAGTTCTTTACTACCAATTTCATGTCTAACATATTCATCAGCATGGAAAGAATGAGAGTTACAGAAGTTAGCTTAAAAAAACACAATAGGAGTCATTATTTTTGACTAAGTGTCTTAGGTAAACATGTTTTACAATGTTACCTAGTCAAAACATACAAATAAAAACTCTATACGTATAATTTTATCTCTTAATTTAAGTTTCTGGAATATCCTTGCTAGAGTCTGATCTTTTCATTTGTTTCTTCTAGTTATATATAAATAAATATCACTTACCAGAAGGTTAAATCCATGTTTAAACTTCTGGAAACAGTCAACAAATTCATCAGGAGGTGGAGGTTTTGCCCTCAGTGTTAAAACACCCTCTGATGAAAGAAGAGGAAAGGTAGATGAGAATAAAGTTCCCAGAAAATCTATTAAAAAAAACAAAAACCACATTGACGTGTGCAAAATTTGATGATTATACCAGACAGGTGATTGTAACAAATGAAGATCCAGAGTTTGAATGGATTCTTCTGCCCTTAGACACTAGCAATGACTCACACAATTCCATAAATATGCATCATAGTCCTTCTACGTACCAGTCATTGTACGTATCATTGTGAAGACTATAAAAATGAGTAAGTTTAACTCTTAAGAGCATTAAAATAAAATAGAGACAGTGAATCAGACAAATTACAGAGATATACTGTTAGGAGAAGAGACTGTACTGATTGGGAAATGTGTACCTAAAAAAGATGTTTTAAGAGAAAAGTAACTTTCAAGATGGAATTTAAAGGGTTTTCTCAGGCCAATTTGTGGAAATAATCATGGTCGGATTAAAAACAGTATATGGAAAAAAGGAAATTTCATGTACATGAAACAACAAACATAAAATCAGAGGATTCTGAGAATGAAGAGGTAGATCAGGGTTAGACGGTGGATGTTCAGAATTGCAGAATGTGGAGTTAGACTTAAGGCAATAAACCACGGAACTAACATTCTTTATAGCAGAAGAATGACGGGCTTGACTTAGAGCTTTGACACTATCCTCTTGGCATGAAGGAATGAAGGACTGAAGACTGCTTAGAAGGCTAGGTCCAAAAACGGATAGTTTGAACTGGATGCTGGTTATGAAAATGAAAAGGGAAAAAACTGGATGCAGGAGATATAGAGAAAACGAATCAAAGGTAGGAATAAGCCAGAGAGTGAAGTCTCAGAAGAATTTGTGGTTCTGAATTTGGGTGAGCAATAGGGCCTTATCGCCTTTAAAAGAATACAGGAGTAAGTCAGTGGTTTGGGACACCATAAAGCAGAACTTAATTTCCAAATATGGGGAGGGAACACAATGTCCAGACGTACAAATCTAGAAGACAACATTGAAGGACATATGCTTACTATACATATATGAGTTAGAGAAGACTCTAGAAGCAATCTACAATGGGAATGACATCTATGTTCTATTCTTACATGTTTTTTCAATCTATGCCATGTTTCAGAGAACTTTTCTACATTTAGAAGCATTTTAAATAGCTGAGCTGTAGCATACCTCAAAATTGCTTGATGCCAGAGGCATGGCTCAAGTGGTAGAGTACCTGCCTAGAGGCACAAAGCCCTGAATTCAAACCTTAGTATCCCAAAAGAAAGAAAAAACCAATTGTATATGAATGTACTATTTAGAGTCCTGTGGTAAATTCAAGCACACTAAAACCTAAAAATATTTAATGAGAAAACTCAATTCTTCTGTTTAAAAACTGAGGTTCTATATTTACAGTAAAATAAATCCACATAAGAGAGTAGAACTATGGCTTTCTTTAATAGACACTGATTTTATAATCATGAATGAAAATTATAGACAGATGGTCACTACCTAACTCAGAGTCTCTGATTCAGATGTACAACCTAGGATTTTTCTTCACTATAAACAACTTGGAACCAAAATGAGCTCTTCCCTGTACTCATCTTACTCTTCCACCTAAATCATCAGTGCTGTTCCAAAAATAGGTAGGGATCTGGGTCCACAGTCAATGGACTTTACTAAGCAGTTCACAAGGCAGAAACTCTCCCAAGCACTGGAGTTTTGAAAAGTCTTCAGAGTAAGAAAACTCAGCTTACCTCCTGGTCCTTTCCTTTTACTTTTTTTGCTTTTCTTCCTTTTAGAAAGCTCAGAAAATGCTTCAGCTGCTTTTTGGAGTTTTGTGATAAAAAATTCAATGTCATCCAAAATATGGTTTAAGATGTGCTGGAATTAGAAATTATAGAATAAAATATAAAGTAAAGCAAAACTATTTTTTTGCCTTAGCTGTACAATTCTAGTTTCTTAATGACAGAAAGGTTTTTCAAACAGAAATAAAAGAAGAAAAGAAAAAAGAAAAGGAAAGAAAAGAAAAGAAAGAGAGTGGGAAGGGAGGGAGAAGTGAGTGGAGGGAAAGAAATGACTTGCACATGCAAATGTTAAGTTTGCTGTTAATTCTAAGAAAAAAAATTGAACTAAATATACCTTGAGCTGAAGTCTGACCTTTATTTTTTTGTTTAGCTTAATTTGGCTGCATTTTCAATGCTATTAGGAAAGCATCCACAGTATCTACTCAAGTTATTAATTATTTTCAATTACTCTGATTTTCTCATAGTGCTCTCCCACACAAGGTTAAGGGAACACAATTCTAAGATACATTTTGTTAGAAGAGCATTGAGCACTTTTGTCTTGCTAGCAAATGTCCCAATAAAGCACTGACAATATTATTTCATGGAATTAAAGGTATGTACAGCTTAGCAAATGTGAGGCCCTGTGTTTAATCCCCAGTACTCTAAGATAAAATAAAGGTATGCATAATGGTGTGATAACCTAATAAACACATAGGTAATGTATAACAGTAGACATTAATAAGAGTTTCTACATGGTAAAATAGAATTAATGGCACAAATACTTTCAGAAATCACTAGAATCATTTTAATTATCTTTTACACTGGAGTTTTAGTTGACTTGTTCTAGTCTGACACTTGACATTCTTCCAACTAAAAGACTAGAAATTAAAAGGTTCCATATCTCAAGTTTAAGTATTTGTTTCTAAATAAGCAGGAACATGGCTATAGTTTCAAAAAAGTAAATTAAAACATATTCTGTGATTACATCAAATGACATTGTTACTCTACAATTACCATGAAGAAATAAAATTAAATATAACATTACCCTTTATAAAGCATTAAAATGTACATATTTATCCTTTAAAGGTACACTTAACTTTTATCATTTAGGCATTCTAAAATATAATTGGTGGGGGGGCAGTACTGGGGTTCGAACCTAGGGCCTTACACTTGCTAGGCAGACGCTTTACCACTTGAGACGCTTTACCACCGAGTCCATAAAACATAATCTTAATACACCTGAAGATGGCATTTTAAAAGATATCTCAACTATGAATTACAAACCACAAGAAAAAAAAATCTGAGCCATGTCTCGAATCTAGTAATCCCATTTCGATTCCTCTGTGAAGCAGTTCACATGCTACTTCCTCCATCTCTGCCCAAGTCTGCTAACTAAACATTGGCAGAGAAGCAAAAATAGTTCATGGACAAAAGTCATTCAAAGGTCATCCCATCACTAAAAAGAGAAACTATGACTTTCACAAAACATATGTGTTTAAATCGTCTTTGTCTCAGTGAATTTTTTCCTCTTAAAAAAACAAAACTTAATGACGCCTACTCTACTTACCACATCCCTGTCAATTCGAGCAGCCATCATCTCAGGAGCCTCTTCCTGTTCGTGATACTGCCGTGGCCTCTCAACTAAAGAAAGAAGAATGGTGTCTTTCAATATTTCTTGAAACAATCCCAATATAGAAATTAAACCATGAAAATTAACTAGAAAAAAGTGCCAGTTGCAAAAAGGAACTTCTCCACAGAATACAGAGAGCAAGACTGTGCTTATTATCCAGGAACCATCTTTTTACCACTAAGAGATGCACTCATAGAGCTGAAGCACTGGCCTTCCCACCTTCACAGTGTTTGTTAGCCTGGTAATGTCCCCCAGGCTCTCCCTCTTTTCTCTGTCAGTTACCTGTAGAATCAACTTTAACTTAGCATTCTTTATTTCCCACACGAGAAAGAAATACAAACCAGGATTTAAGCATCTTACTTGTCATAAAGTCAGGAACTAAATTCTCACCTAAAAAAAATGTAGTCAACTAAATTACTGAATGTTTTTATATGTTCCAACACTGTGACAACAACAATAATATGGGGGGGGGGTTCAGAATATAGTACTTTTTAAACCCTAGTTGTAATTAAGCTTAAAAGCCTACAATGTTGGGCTCATTAATTTTAAGTCATATGCTTTGAAAGAAATACCTTCAGAGATTTTCAAATTCAAGAATAAATGTCTCGAGAGCATTCAAGATGTGAAGGGAGCTTTGTTGATAACAGTGTGATTTATATCATGAGGTCCCTAGCATGAACTCCTTCCTGGTATGAGTCAGTTAATACTAACAGTAAACATTGACAGTTGGTACAAATATTTCAAACTAGATTAAATTTTAAAACATATGGCAGGAACAAGAGCACTAGGTCACTATGAACTGAAATACAGCTCATGATAAATCCTCATGACTCATGACGTTCAATATAGAAAACTGCAAAATTATGAAAACTCTGCATTGCTACATTAATGCTAACATTAACCATAGATGGAACATTTGCCAAAAGAAAAGAACAGACTGTATCATCCAGGTCATGCTTCCTACCCAACTTTTGACCCAGCAGGTGCAAAGTCCAATGTCACGTATTTTGGCAACTGAGTTATACTGTTTAACTACACTACTTGATATTCTACCTGAATAACACTTTACACCAGACTAATCCTATTTTAAGGTATTTTCCAGTCATACAAATTTCATGTAAAGTATTGTAACATAAAAGGGTGTAGGAAGGTGAATGTAGTGGAAATATTATGTTTTCATGTATAAAAATGGAAAAGTGAAACCTGTTGAAACTATTTCAGGAATGGGGGAGGGGAGGATAAAGGAGAATGATGGAGTGAGTGAATTCAACTCTGATGTATTGTAAGAACTTTTGTAAATGTCACAATACAACAGTGATATGGTAATAGAAAAAGTTGTGCTATGTTCTATGCTATGATTTTGAAAAACAATGTCAAGTGGAAAGATGCCACTTCTATAGGCACAAGGTTAGCTCATCCACTGCCAGTGTCCTACATGGTCCTGACATTCTTTCCATCAATACAACAAACCTGTACAAAAATGGACAGTGGTAAGATAACAATAAATGGAAAGAATCTGAAGTATAATCTTTAAAAAAGAAAAAAACTAATAGTCTTGTTTGGCATAAATTCTATTATCATATTTTTAAATCTCAGTCAAGTTAAGAAGTTTCCTTTCTTGGTATTCAAAAGTCCCCAATTCTAACAACGTTAGGACTTAAGAAATGGCTGGTATGAATTCCCACAGAAAACAAACTTAAATAGTAGTCAAGGCTTAACTTTCTATTATCTATGATTTAATTTTATAAAACTAATTTTGCCTTCTGCTCAGAAATCAGCATCACTATTTGAAAGAAAGAACTCTGTCACCAAAGTAAATTCTCAGTAATCATTCTAGAAATACTTACAGTCCCCCTGGTCTGCTGCCCATGCAGACCAGGCTGCCACCCGACTTCTAACATCCACCTGGGTGACAGTCCCTGGTGGAACAGGGGCAGGGGCTCTGGGTGGAGGTGGTATGCCAGGGTCTGCTTTGGAAATCATTCTAGAAAAGATGAAAACAAATAAGTTTTACCTTCTCTATTTCAGCAATACATCAATTCCCTCAATATTGATGGCATTAGTTCTTAAACCTCAAAAAGAACTATGTCAAGAAGCAATAAGGGTTTCCTAACCATCATATGTACTATCTCTTCTTAAGTGGAGATGAGACACAAAAATTTAGAAAAATTAAAATTCAGCAGAAATCCTGGCATAAATTTTGTCTGGTCTTGTGTGATTTGGAAAGGTTGTGGACCAATTACATGTCTCATTTATAAGACCTTATGCTATCTTCTCTTACAATACCACTCATCCGTTATGACTCTGTGGCTTCCATACATGTAGAAGACATGTCAGAGAAAGACTAACACATGCAGAGAAAAGAGAGAACAGATGTATACTGACAAAGCAGGGAGAGCAAAAAGCTGAGACAACAAGTGTAATCTGGAAAACAATAATATACTTGTGCTGAAAATAATGTTTATATACCTTTAGGAGAAAAAAAAGACAAAGTAACCAATTCTGCCCCTTAATTTCTTTAATGGTCTTACCTCAGAGCCTCAGGCCGCCTTTTCTGCTTCCCTCCTTTACTGTCACTGACTGCACTTTCAATGTCTTCACTAATCAGGTTTGCCTACAAGGAGAGACCAGTTACCTGGAAGGCTATGTGTTTTTCTGATTCTTGATATGTAGATTAAAACAGAAAGAGGGCTGATACTCATTGTCTGAATCAGTAAGTATCTTGATGCAAAAAGTCATTTGTTATGTGCAACATGACTCAACTTTTTAATGGTGAACTTAATAATTACAGAATTCAAATACTGAAGTAATTTTTAAACATTATCTACTCCAGATTCTATTGGTCCATAAAGTCACAGATAAAATACCTGGGAGTAATGCATATGGTAATACATATGGTGAAAAGGAAGCTGTATCAGCAGCTCTTCTTGTGAAGAAATGAAGGAGTAAGAAGCAGAGAGTGCACTAAGAACACAGCTCCTTCCCTTTTTCACCCACAAGACTCACTAGACACCCACAAAATCATAGAAGCTATCACTGGGTTCCAGCAGAGCTACTCTTAGTTGAGGCAAACCAAATTGCTACAGTTTGGTTCTGGAGTGTCCCTCAAAGGCCATGTGTTAAAGGCTTGGTTTCCAGCCTGTGGGAGTATTGGGAGTTGGTAGAAACTTTAAGAGAAGGAAGCTAGGTCATTGGAGGTGTGATTTTGAGGGGGTTACTGTGACCCCCCCCCGACTCTTATTGTCTCTTTTTGTTTCCTGGATACCATGAAGTGAACAGCCTCTTAACACATGCTCCCTGCCATGATGTACTCTGCCACCACAGGCCCAAGCACAACCACAGACTGTAACCTCTGAAACTGTGGGTCAAAATAAACTTTTCCTCCTTATGAGCTGTTTAGCTGGGATATTTTGTCATGGTGACAGAAAGTCAAGTAACACACTACTACACTGAAGGGATGAATCTCAACACTGTATCCTTTGTGATAACTATTTTATTTTGTGATTTCAAGTAAAAAAATAATGTCTACAAATGATGAACTTTTCCAGTATTTTTCCAACAAGACCAATGATTAAATGTTTTGGGGAACCAGTGTAAGATTAGCAGCTTAGAAGTGTATTTGTTTGGCTGTGAAGTCTATTTATAGCCAGTGATTATTACTATATGTAAGAGTGTTGCTGATGTGTTCATTTTTTGGTGCCTGCATGATCTCTGTAATTATGTATGCTTTTCTCAAATACACATACTGCATATTCTTAAACAGTAAACACTGATAGTCACAAAATTTTAGAGCTGAATGGGCACTTCAAGATCATACAATCTGTTCTCCTTCTTTTCTAGAAGTTAATGAACCTGAGGAGTGCTTGCTGAAGTGGACAAGGTCATATTGCCAGTGAAATGAGAGTGCCATTGCATCCCAGTCCAGTGTCACTTCCACAGGGACATCTTAATTCCAATCAGTGAGACAGACATCATGCCAAGGCTTTCTGTTTTGTGGGCTCCTAAAACAAGACACCTAGGAACTTTGAACTTCTTATGGGGAGACAATTATAAGAAAAAGATTACATTAAGGGGAATGAGAGTGCTATTGCATTGTCTCATAATAAACTTTAAAACTTAAAACAATATTGTAAGTTGATCCACATCAAAGAAATTATATTCCATCTCACTGAATTTACATTGTTTAATCAGCTAAGGAAAAAGATGTCTCATATGGTGAGTAGACTATTGATGAGCAAATGTGGATAGTCACTTTGTGGTACATAAGCTTTAGTTAGTGAGAGAGAAACAACATCCAGTAAATCCACTGGACCATCCCATGTCATAGAAGGCAAGCCCTTCATTCTTAAAACTGAAATCCAGAAACTTTACTCTGTATAGTAGCTCTAAACTCCCCAAGGAGACTTTTTGGGCACAGATATAAACACCAAATTTAAAACATCTTTTGACTGAGTAGTCTGTTTTTAAAATGTCTGAATTAAATGTCCCTATATTTGCAGAGCAAATTATTCACTTTAATTGATTTAGCCATCTAACCTCATAAACTTAATTTATAACTTTCAAAGATACTATAGTATATTTAAAAATCTGATGAACATCAAAGACATGTTACCTAAATGTCACATTTCCTTTCAAATAAGGTTTCTAAACAGTCATCTATCACACAGATCAAAATTAAAAGAAATGTAAAATATGTTTATAGTCAGTCTTATTTTACTCATAGTATTTTAATGTCAAAGAGATATAGAAGAAACCAATTGTCTTTTTATGTGAGTCTCCCAGAATTTTTTTAAGAGTTACAAGTATATTTTATAATACAAAATCAAAATGGTAAATCACTGCATTGACAAAATACAAATCAGTACACAAAGTGGTTTTCCTTTTAGAGAAATGAACTCAAGCAATAAATATGGTCAAAGGTGAAGACAATTTGTAAGGTCCAATAAATCGTCACAAATTATAATCATTTGAAAGCCGCAGTGTACTTTGAAATGTAAATTTGCAGGACATACGCTGTTATTGCTGGCAATTGTGTCCAACTATTTTCACAAATTGCTTAGGGATTACAAATCTTTGAGCAATTACTCAAGTCATTTAAGGTTCAATGATGAACTTTACATCAATATCCTGGGAAAGGCCTAAGTGCTTTGTTGCAATAATCCCAGCTATGTCGCTAGTGCAGAATAAAATGGGAGAGCAGCATAATTATTTATTGTCTATAAAGCATGATTTTTAAAGATTTAATTTGTAATTAGAAGTCCATGGCCCTTGGCTGGGCACGATGGCTAGTGTCTATAATCACAGCTTCTCAGGAGTCAGAGATGGGGAGGATCACAGTTCAAGGCCAGCCCAGGAAAAAAGTTAGCAAGACCCCATTTCAATCCACAGAAAGCTGGATGGGGTGGTATGTGCCTGTCATTTCAGCTATGTGGGAGACAAGGCTGGACCAGGAATAAATGTGAGAGCCTAGTCAAAAAATAAGGAAAGCAAAAAGGCTGGAGGCAAGGCTCAAGTAGTAGAGTGCCTGTCTAAAAGCACAAGGCCCTGAGCTCGAACTTCAGTAACATGAGAAAAGAAAGAAAAAAAAATCCAAGGTACTTGATATACTTTTTTTAAAAAATGAACAGAATGCATCTGGTATTTTAATATTAGTCACATTTCCTCTTTATTTACCTGGCATGGAAACGCTAAGTGACACACTAAGGTATTTATTTTCCTTAAAAAATTACCAAAAACTAAAACTTTAGTACCTAATAACTGTATGATAAAAATTGGTAATTCAAAAGCTGCTAGAACATTCACTTATGATGGAAAAAAGTCACCATTCTTTTACCTTGATTTCATCACACTGGAAAAGATGAAGGTCTGGCTTATTCTGGGTTGGCTCTTTGCACACCAGAGCAAGAATTGAATCATAGTTGCACGAATGCATCACAGCTTGGCAGTGCTGGATCGTGTTTAAAGGAAAATTCTCTAATTCGTTCTACAAATAAAGCAAATAGTTTGTCAAACTTCTACCCATTTTCAAATAATCTGACTTGATTGCATACATTAATATTTGTGATGCTTTCTTGAAAATAAATGTAAATTTCACAAACTTGCCTTTGATTCTAAATCAATCAGGCTCACAGCTCGGTCATCCACTTGCAGAATCATGTCTTGAGTCCATACTTTGCCCTTGGCATCAAGTAATTTCAGCTTCCTTATTCCATCATCCACCGTTATCATAGCATCTTTCCGGTCCAGAACAAAGGTGGTCAAATGCTTATGATTGGCAAAAAAGGAAAAATATTTACAATATGTAGACACAACCTCAGTCTATTTATTTTCTGAAAGGAAGTAAAATTAACCTAATTGAGATTAGTTAGCAGAGAAGTGAAGGATAAACACAAGGTACCCTACAACTTTATGATTATCTTATTGAGAGAATGAAGTCAAGCAGGAGTTTTTTTTTAAAGTATAGAAAATGATGTCTCAATTCAGAAGACAGCTAAGTCTGTTTCACACAGAGCCATGTTAAACTATAATATGGATAAAAACAAATTATACACTGCTTAATAGCATTCTCCTTAAATACACTTTCCCTATTTTGCTCTACTATGGTCACTTAAATGTCACAAAATAGCAGACAATAATACAGCAGCTACAACTCTCTGGACTCTGACACCTCAGAGTAACCACAGCAATTCAACTCTGTAACAATTGCCAAGTTTTCACTCTAATGAAGTCATTTACCAAAAAAAAAAAAAAAAAAAAGTTTAGATTTAATTAAGCATGCTTAAGCAAAAATATCAGAAGAACAATTTAAAAATTACTCCTCTGCTTAAATATTTACTATTATAAGCAGAGGTCACGTAGATTCCAAATTAAAAGTATCTTAAAAGATAACTGCAGAATGAAAACTAAAAAGACACCATTGTTTAAATAGACCTAGTAATGACTTTAGATAATACTAAAAATAAAACCAAACCACTCACTGTGTCAAGGCTTAATTTCAAGAAGATTCTCAAATACTAAATAGAAGCCTTTGTCTTGTGTTAACTGAAATTGGGCTGGAAATGATCAGTAAGTAGTAGTCAGTATTTAATTTATTCTTTATGAAACTACAACCCAGACTAACAAAGTACTTTTATATGCAACATCTCAGTTTTACAAAAAATCTAAAGGTTAACACATCTTTAAATATATCCTATGATTGAAATAAAACAATAATTCCATTTTTACTTCCAGTTTTTATGTCCTTCAAGAGTCATTCTAAGTACTAGCAAATACCAAATCATCTTACCTCAACTCGGTACTGGGATATATCTGACACACTGCTGACACTGTCCCGTGCATAATTCTTCCTTTGTTCTGAAAGATAAATTTTAAAGGCCATTATTTACCCACTAATAAGCTGAAGTTCATATATTGGTGTCATGTGGCCAACTCTGAAACTAGTCTATCTCACATACAAATACAGTAGTTGACAAATGGCCATTGTGTGGTTTATCTGAAAACATTCATTATTCATAGGAAAACCAAAAGCCCCAAGCAAGCCTCAAGGATATGTAAGAACCCTTAGACACAATACACATTTTCAGAGTTCCAAATGTAAGATTATAAATGTTCTAAAAAAAAAAAAAAAGCCCTCCTTCTCAATGTCTTATTAATTAGGGATCTACTGTATGGCAAAAAGATAAAGACAGGCTTGTAAATTTCATTTGTTAGAAGACAGATCAAAACACAATTGCCAATATTGTCACAATTACTGTATTATACGCATTAGACTATGTTATTAAATACCGGAGCATCTCCTACTATGCTACAAGGAGCATCTCATCTGCTTCCACAGCATCTAAAGCACACAGACAGTGTTACAGGAGATTCAAAGCACGATTCAGTCTTACTGACTGCCATTCTCACACATCAACAGAACACACAAATACGATGCTCAGAACCGTAGATGTAAACTGTTAGGAAAAATAAGGAATTTGGGTGGACAGTTATTGCACCCAAATACCTAAAATGCAAAGGAACCCTTTAACTTTCTTTTCTAAGATGCTGCAAAACCAAAAAGACAACATTAAAATATAGAGTATGTGTTGACAATAATTGCTATCTATTATTTTCTAATCAAGCAACTTGCTTATTTGTAAATTCAGAGTCACTATATTTCTTCCAAAGCAGAATGCTACAAATGAAAAGGAATTCTAAGGAGCGTGGAAGTCAGAAGATTTATAAATTCTATTTCTAGTTTGGGTTCTGTCACTAAGTTGGAAACTAAACTTGCCTGTCTGGGCCTCAGAACCTTTATTGTAAGATATAAAGGTTAAACAAGATAAAATCTGAAGACCCTTAAGAATTTAAAATTTTCTCTCTCTCTCTCTCTCTCTCTCTCTCTCTCTATGTGTGTGTGTGTATACATATATGAGTAACAGTATATAAATATATAACATGTATAGATGTACATATATGTATATGGGTATGTATACAAAACTTAGCTTTTCTAATAACTAATATTTTCTAAACATGAACACATTCTTTACATTAAGATAGTAACTCTACAACAGAAGATGAAGAGTTCTCCTGAACCTAAAGGTAAAGCAAATACAAAAATAGAATTCATTCGCAGACTCAATATTAACAAAGAATTTTTTGAAACTTGATAAATTTTGGTTTCACAAAACATGAAAGTAACTTCTCATTTATATTTACTTAAGAACTTCAATGAAAAATCTCCATATTCAATATATTAATATCACTGATATTCCAATATAGTCTATTTTTGCTTTTGCAGCATGAAAATTACTTAATAAAAACAAACACACTACAAAATCCAGTCTCTGCTACCTTTCTTTTTTTGTTTGGATGATGACCTGAAGAAGTACAATCCATCTGGTCCTACCAAAATAATGTGGTCAAAAAGAAAAATCTGGTTTCACCTCAAATTTTCTATTCCAATATGCAAAACATAAACCTTCACTTACATGACTATATTCCACGTATTTTAAAAAACAGTGAATCTTATCATTTCTGTCTATTAGTTGAAGATTAATCAATGTGAGATATTAACACATAGAAACATATATTAACATATGGAAAACTGTATGATCCTTGAAATACAATGTATAATTTAGGGATATAGCGGACAAAAGCACTTCTAGAAATAATCACTATTTCAAAATCACTGGTTCATTATATTCTAACTCAACTGAATAGGACAGACACAGAACATGAGAGTGGTTTACTTCATTTATTTGACACGAGGACAGTAGAAGAAAGGGCAATGGTTGCCATGGTATCCAATCACAATATGGTGGCCCAGGATGTTCAAATGCTTGACTGGCTCTTCCAGACAAGTGATTAGCAAACACAGCTGAAGATCCAAATGCTATATGCTCATATATGGATTTTCTCACTATGATGTATTAAGAATTGATCCCCCTAGATTTCCTAACCCAGTTTCTCAACCCCACAGAAACACCATTTACAGAAAGACTACTGATCACACTTGTCAATACTATGGTATCAACTGACCACTGTGACTGCCTAGAAGATAGGGTGTCACTTCTAATATTCCAAAGTGAGAACCCATTTTTGGAATTCTTAAGCTGCTCTCTCTCCCATGTTACACAACGAACAAGATGCATGTAACAGGAAATTACCTTTTAAAGATCCTGAAATACATACATGTCATAAGGTGGATTTACGAATAAACTAGTAATTCTGGTGAGTTTAAGTCAATGAATAAAAAAAAGTTAATACTAATGTTTTAATAGCTAGTTCTGAAAGAAGTTTCCCAAAAGACAACTGTAGTACAATTTTCTTTGTCGACTCATACGTATCCACAAGTACAGTTATAAGTAGTAATCACACTCCTAGGCTCAAAATCCAAGCCTTAAAACAGTAGAGAGGCCTGAAGGAAGTCTTTCAGAGCCACTCAAAAGAAAGCCCGTGATAAAGCTCACCACTTTCTCTAAAGATGGCTCTCATCCTTGGTTGCCTGTAAGAATGAACGTTTAAAGCTGCTGTGTGGGTCCCACCCAGTGATTCTCATGTGAGTGGTCCAGGGTGCCACAGGGCCACTGCACTTTGTAACAGATCCCCAGGCCACGCCCAAGGGCAGCCAGTGCTGAACAGCACTGCTCCAGACTCTGTGACTACTAACTTGCCAGCTATATGTCCTCTCATTAAGCAAAAAAAAAAAAAAACTTCCTAGTTACAATAAGAGCATCAATCATTTATCAAGAAATAAATATGAGTAAGTCTAGGAGTAGTTTTGGGTTTCTAGTGTTACAAGCTTTAGGTTGCAGTTAACTTTTCAATTAGTATAACTGCAAGTGTAACAAGTCAGGAGGTCTCACTATTTAGTGATGCCCTTCTCCTTGCATTGCTATTTATGTACAAAACAGCAACATCTGAAATGGGTAATATCCACAGATAAAGCTAATATTCAGAAAAATTTTATTTTCTCTTTCTTTAAAGATGTTGCTTCAAAAGAAAGGATTTGACCATTAAAAAGAAAAAGTTATCTGAGAGCAGCTACTGAGTGTTTCTTGTTCCAAATAAAATAATGGGTTACAGTCAAATTACATCATACAAAAACTTTCAGCCACAGTGAAGGAGAATTCCTTTCCCAATAGTTCAGTACAGAAGCATGCGATTTCCACAGAGGAGAGAAGCTTAGTGTGGATCAGTGATGGTGAAAATTACCACTCTCATTATTAGGCAATCACAATCACATTTAACAAATCAGTATCTGAACCAAGAGATCATTTTTAAAAAGCAACAAGGCCATTTGTACAAAATTTCATTATTTAAGAATTGTACTGGCCTGTTCAACAAATCAGTAAAATGGTTTATATCATGAGGGAAAAAACAGCTTTAAGTTTTTCAGTTAAGTTGGGGGGACTGCCAAACTGTTGTTTTGAGTCACCTGCTCTGGTACACTAGTAAGGTGAATTTTCACTCTAACACTGCCCAGTTTCCTGATACAACTTAATTGCAGGCTGTTAGTAATTCTTCAGAAATTTTTTTAATTTAAAAAAAAAAAACAAAATTCAACATTTTGCTCTTTAAGAAGAAAGATTTCAGTTTTTTTCTCTAGGAAAATCACAAACTATAAATAATGAGGATAGGACAGAGAAATTCATTTTAAGTGCCACTTAATTTGGCCTCCAGACGTTAAAATTAGACAGAGAGATGAGCTTCAGAGACCAGACAGGGGAGGGAGGTGGGGTGATAACTGAGAAACAAAAGAAGAGAGGTAAAAAAAGAAAAATCTGCAGGGCAGATATCTGCCAAGAAAAGTGGAGTGTTTGGAAGTTGAATCAAGCACTATAGAAATCCTACATAAGACAAAGTTTATAGTAAACTACGTCCTCTGAGCATCTGGGAAAAGGAGTGGGTGATACGTAGCCACTGTAATAAAAAGTGGTCAATGTCCAAAGTAAGTCATAGAAGTTCAGAACCAGAAAATAAAAATCATTTGAGCAATCGTTTGCTCCAAACAGCATCATTTGGTAGAGGTGCTGTGATTTAGTCTGAGACCCCTGGTCGTCCTAGAACCACACTGCCTCACTAAGCACACTCACTGGGAGCAATGTGAGTGTTACATTATGGTACAACCTGGAAAGTGTTCTCAAGAAAAAGACAAGGTGCATGAAACCTCTGCTCTGACACAGTATCCAGCCTGTGGTCAGTGATGTATCATGAAACTCATGTTCCTGTGCACAAAACAGTATCTTCACATCACATACAAGTTCACATACTACCCATTAGACAAATCAATTCTAGATTTATCCAACTAGTTTAATAATTGTGAAAGAAGAAATTTTAAATAAAATGCACAAATTGTCAGGAAATAAACCATATTACAAATCTCTCCACTGAATTTCCAGCAATAAAGAGAAAGTTAAAGTATGTAGTAACTGTAATCCTGAGGATGGCGGCTTGAAGCCAGCTCAGGCAAAAGGCTAGCAAGACCACATTCCAATCAATTAGCTGCCAAGGTGGAGATTGCTTGTGGTACTGTCTACCTAGGAGGCACAGGTAAGAAGACTGCAGTCCAAGGCTGGTCCCAGGCAAAACTATGAGAAACTACCTGAAAAATAACTAAAAAGAAAAAACAGCAGAAGGGGTCTGGAGTTGAGGCTCAAGTGGTAGAGTGCCTGCCTAGCAAGCAGGATGCCCTGAGTCCAAACCCTAGTATTGTCCAAAAACATAAAAAGTTGGTAGGTTCAGAAACTAAATACTCCTGAGGCTAACTAAAAAGACTTCAACTAGACTTTGTTTATTGAACATATACTTGATACCTGCACACCCAGGTTTATAGCAGAACTACTTATAGTAGCTAAGCTATGAAATCAGCTAGTTAGCCAACAACCTAATGACTGGATAAAGAAAATGTTGTACACTTATGTGATGTACTATTATTCAGCAAAAAAGAAGAATGAAATTATGTCATCTGCAGAAAAATGGATGGAACTAAGATCATCATGTTAAGGAAGATAAGCCAAGCTCAGAAAGACCACACATTTTCACTCATGCAAATCTAGACCTAAAAAAGTAATAAAAATATGACATGATTATAAAAGAGGACTGTACGGGGAAATCCAGGGAAGGGGGAATGGGAAGGTGACTGGGAGTGTGGTGAATATGATCAATGTTACTTATACATATGTATGAAAATAGTGTAATTGAAACCCACTAAAACTGTTCAAAGAGGGGGAAGAGGGGGAGGGATTAAGAAAGTAATAGAAGTGAATTTGAACAAAGTACATTCTATGCATATATGTAAATATCACAATGAAATCCCTTTGTACAATTAATTTTTAAAATGTACGAAAGGAAATAAAAAAGAATTTGTTTGTTGTAAAGGTTTGTTCAAAACATGAATGCACTATTGTCATTCACCCATCTAGCTTTTCTCTCATAGGCATTTCCTGAGAACCTGTAATCTGTAAGAGAGAAGGCTGTGTGTGTGTGTGTGTGTGTGTGTGTGTGTGTGTGTGTTTGTGTGTGCAGTGTGTTGGGAGACACAAAAAGGAACGAAACAATATGTGCAAAGTTCTTCAAAGAACTTAAAACAGTCCTACACCTAAGCCAATACTGTTTTACTTATCTACTATTCATTTCCTTCTGTCCTCCCTCCCTCCCCCCTCCCTCCCTCCCTCCCTCCCTCCATTCCCCTTCTCTCCCTCCTTCCCTCTCTTCCTTTTTGAGACAGGGTAGCTCTGTGTAGCTCAGGCTGGCCTTGAACTTGAACTTGCTATGTAGCCCAGGATGGCCTTGAATTCTCAATCCTTGTGCCTTAGCTTCTCAAGTGCTGGAATTATAGATGTCAGCCACTGTGTCCAGTTCTTTCTCTTTAAAAATGTGTTGCGGCTTAGATGTCTAATTTACCTATAGTACCTAAATTTGTGTCACCTGTTTCCCTACATACATACCAATTCATTTTTAATTTTACTAACAGAATGACCCGAGACAAATTTTACTGTTCTGCTGATTAAAATACATGGAAGTCTGCTCACTAATTATAAATACTGTCCAAATTCTTTTAATATGATTCTTCGTAATATGGTCTGTGTTCATTTTTCTAATCTTATTTCCCAATGTATACCATGTGCCCTCCAGTTAACACCAAAGTGTTGGTGGTTCATTAATTCTTTATATTCAGTCCACAAGTAGTTACTGAGTACAAATTATGCATTAGCCACTGTGACAATAAGCATAAGGAATCCTGAAGTGAATGAGACCAATGGGCCACATTCATAGGGCTGCGAGTCTAGATTAGAAAGGTTTCACGGGGCTGCTTACAACATCCTTCTCCCCCCAGGGTCTGGAGAACATAGATCACCTTTCAGAGCTCACATGGAGGTTCAGGTCCTCTGTGAAATCCCTGCAGACCAACTCCCATCCACAGATCAGACACCACCTTTGCACCTAGCACACACTGCTATCCAAGCCCTTTGGTCCTTTATTATAACAATGCATTTGCTAGTCTATCTCACCAAAACAACACACGAGCAATGACCATCTCTTATTCTTCTTTGAAATGACTGAAAGGATGTGGAAACAGAGAATGTGACAATCATGGTCTGGCACACCAATGTTCCTAACAAGTATCTGTCTATAAATGAAGGACTGAAGGACTTTGCTACTTCATTCTTATAAAAAATTCTTTTTTTTCAGTTTTCTTCCAGTCTCTCTCCCTCAGAGTCCAGAATCAGGTAATATTGGTCCTATCTGAGACTATATTAATTACAAAATAAGCCTTTACTGAAAACATTCTCTAGATCTATAAGTCATAGGTATTAGGTGATGGTAAGTATTGGTACTCAAGAATGTTGAAACCAGCACTAGTCAGACTGATAGGACCACAAAAAATATATGCATGTATAGTATTAAGTCCATTCTATGAATGCATGATGAGTTGTGAAATCAACTCACTAAGAATACAGGGAAAAAAGAGAATCACAAAACTTTAGCATTTTTCATTCTTACCACAGCCATGAAGTCATAAATCTAGATAAAACAAAAAGAATTCCAAAACATAGAAAATACTGTTTGTTCCATATAGCAATGATAATATGACAATAATAATACCAAGTATATACAGTGTTTTCTGCTTGTCAAGCATTTTACATTTATTAACTCATTCAATGCTACCAAGTAGCAATCTTATAAAGATAAGCAAAATTAGGTAGGGACAGGTGAAGTAATTTGTCCAAGATTACTCAGCTAATAAATGGTAAAAGTGAATTTGAACATGGAAGTCTGGTTCCAGAGTCTTTACTATTAACCAAGGTACTATCCTGATTCTTCATTGTTATACAATAATAAAAGGCCATCCAGACCCCAAATAAACAAATGCCTTACTAAATTTACGTGGTATACTTCAAGAGTCTCTAATTTTTTTGTTAACTTCAATTTTATATTTTATATAAAATTATTATGTATCTGTAAGGCAAACTAGAGAAGGTAGGAGAAGTCACAGAAGGGTCAGAGAGAACATCTGATTATTTTGAGGACAAAAGAAATATATAAGAACTGGAAGTCACATTGTAATACTACTCAGAAAGTTCAAAAGCTGTAAGGAAAAAGTTACATCATTTGTCAGCCCACAATCAACTGGATTAATCACAAAAGTCACCAAACGTCTTACAAATGACAAATGGGAAATGACATTAGGCCATCTGGGTCATGCATAAGACCCAGATTGCATCTATAATTGTAAATTGTATGACAGCAAGCACAGTTCATAGCTTTGGTAGCTTTTGTAACAACTCTTCTTTAAAATAATCCTTATTTAGCCACACTACCTCATTTGAAATAATAGAGTATAGGTGCGAACTATGACTTTGAAATTGTAGATTTGTTAAAAGTGGTTACAAACAGAATTACACCCCAACAAATAAACACACATACCATAAAGGGCCTTTGCACTTGTTTTTGAACTGTGTTCTCTGTCCATCTGGGAAAAGGAGGGTGATGATCCGTAGCCACTGTAATAAAAAAATGGTCAATGTCTTGGGTTAAAGTCTAAAGTAAGTCATAAAAATTCAGAACCAGAAAATAAAAATTCCAATAAACCATGATCATCATGTGTTTTTAAAGGGAAAAAAATTGAGTTTATATTAACTGAGCTGATAGGCATGAGCAAGATGATCCTGCTCTGGTGAGCGGTAAATAAGTAGAAATACTAATTGCATAACACGGAAGAGACCCACGAGTGACTGGAACTGCAGCTTCCCCTCAAATAACAAATCACAACTATAGCCAAGAGGATTCACCAAGGCTTAAAACTCCCTTAGAAGTTTCTGAAAGTAAAAAGAACTGAAACTCAAGGTCACCAGTCCTCATAGAGAAAGAGGATTTCATGATCATTTCCCTATATTAGGTACTCTTTGGCTGGCTGGTTGGCTGACAGTGCAGTGAAGAGTCTGTGCTCTAGAGACAACTGCCTGAATCCCTCTCCCACCTTTATCAACTTCTAGAACGACCCTGGCTCCTCTGGGCCTCGTTCTGCTCATTCACAAGATAGAATCATTAGGCACCTATACCTCACAAGGTTGCTAAGAGGATTAAATTAGTTCATACAATAAATCACTGAGAATTTGTGCCTGGCAGAAAGTAACTCCACTGATTAATGTAAGTACTCATCACCCACATTTATCCTTCTTGGGAAACTGTCACAGTGACCCTCCTGGTCGCACTAGCCACCAGGCAGGTACTTTCAGGGACAATCACATAAGCTTGGGGAAAGGCTGCTGCCCTGTTAAATCAATGACTGTGGGGAACCTCTATGGTTGCTTTGTTGCTTTTAGAAGAGTGTCATTCTGCAATATTCAATCAAGTTCTGAATTGTGACACAATTATAAGTTATAACGATGTAAACCATAATGAAATAAACAATATTTTCACAAATACTGAAATAAAGTACTTTAACCTAAAAAAAAAATTCTACCATTAAATTCTGATTTATCCTATATCCAGCTTCAAGTTACTAGTGTACTATATGAAGTAAATACTGTTTTATTTGAATTTTATTCATCTATTTAGTAAACATTTATTAAGCTCTAACATCTACAAGAATAAAGAGTATAAGAAGCAAAATAGTTAGAACAGAATGTAATATATAGGTAAAACATGTAAGATCAAGGAAAGATCAAATTTTTATCAGAATAGCCAAGAGGACTTGACTGCTGATCTGACATTTAAGCAGAATCCAAAAGAATGAAAGCAGGGTGCTGGTGGCTTGGACCTGTTAGCCCAAGTTACAAAGAAGGATGAGATAGGGTAGATCATGTTTTCCAGGTCAGCCAAGTCAAGTTCATAAGACCCCCATCTCAAAGGGGAAAACACCTGGGTGTGGTGGTGTGCACTTATCATCCCAGTTACAGCAAGAAGTATAAAATAGGAGAACTGTGGTCTAGCCCAGCCTGGGCCAAAGAGTGAGACCCTATCTTCAAAATAACCAGAGCAAAAAGGGCAAGAGGCATGGCTCAAATCATAGAGTACCTGCTTTGTAAGTATAAGGCTCTGAGTTCAAACCCCAGAACAGCAAAAAAAAAAAAAAAAAAGGAATGAAAGAAGCTCCCGAGGCAGGTAAAGAATCATATTCAGAAAAGACATGTGATACTGACCCACAAATAGCAAGGCGTCTGAGGGACACCCACCTGATGAGATGCACCTAGAATGGATGAATGGCTGGGGAAGCAGGGGCAGATGGAAGGCTTTTACATCACACTTAAACCCAGGGAAAGAGTTGATGAGACTCATCACAAAAAAAGGGCTGGTGGAGTGACTCAAAGTGTAGGCCCCGAGTTTAAACCCCAGTACTACAAAAAAGAAGTACATTTTTATTCCTTAGATGCTACCTGTCCTTAAAACTGATGAATGAAAGATGCATCATGATGGCCAATATCAAATGACAACATTGCGCACACTACAGAAGATAATGGCTGCACTTGGAAGCTTTGGGGTTGGTCTGTTTGCCTGATTTTTGTTTTGTTGTATTTTACCCACAATATCTTGATAATATGGACTAAATGGCATTTAAGTCTCTTCAAATAATTGTACAATAGAATGCACCAGAAAAATCCAAAAGCTCTGAAGTATAGATTAGACTATGAAAAGCAGTAATATATAAAATACTAGGCTACATTACCTTCCAACTCTGAGACTGTCATTGGACTGATGTTTACTTTGCCATCTTATTCTTCACAGAGACAGTAAACTTTTAATGATAAAATGGGTAATAAAAGGAGTGATCTGTATAAGGAAATGTGACTAATCTTTTCATTAAAAATACAAAGCTGGGCACTGGTGGCTCACACCTGTAATCCTAGCTACTCAGGAGGCAGAGATCAGGAGGATTGTGGTTTAAAGCCAACCCCAAGCAAACAGTTCATGAGACCCTATCTTGAAATAAACCATTACAAAAAAAGGGCTGGTGGAGTGGCTCAAGGTGAAGGCCCTGAGTTCAAACCCAGTACTGAAAAAAGAAAATGTACAGCTACTCAGGAGGCAGAGACAGGAGAATCATGACTCAAGGCCAGTCTGGGCACAATTAGTATGGGATCCTATCTAAGAAATAAGCTAAAACAAAAGGACGAGGACAAAAGGACAGATCAAGAGGCAAAGTACTTGCTTAGCAAGAGGAAGACACTGAGTTCAAGCACCAAGGCTGAAAAAAATAAAATAAAAATTTAAAAATTAACTGGACATGGTAGTCCATGTCTGTTATCCCAGCAATTGGGAGGCAGAGGGAGGAGGACCACAATTTCAAGGCCAGACTGAACTACAAAGTAAATCCTTGCCTCAAAAAATAGATATATACATAGATACATAGATAGACACATGGATAGATTCAGTTAGAACATTAAAAACTTAAAAGTAGCAAATCAAATCCCCCAAAGAGTTAAATATAAACTTTCAACTCACTTCATTTGAGATGAGTACATTCCAAAACCACTGGGATGATTAGAAATATGACCATTCATTGTGGTTCCCACTCTTCTATTCTAAAAAAAGAAAGGCACACAGATTAAAGGAAATGAAAAGGAGTCAGGACTACTTTCAAAAGCAACTCATTCAACAAGTGTGTTTTACTGCCGGGGATAATGTGAGAAAGGCAAATATAAAGGTTTCCACCCTCAAAGAGCTCTAGCTTCAGAGGAATCCACAGACATATAAACAAAGATCCCACTGGGAGCAAATTTAGGTGAAGAAAAATCTACAATGTAGTGCTGTGTTTTCTAAGTATCGAGAAATAAATCTATATTATGATCAAATTTATTATGAATTATCAACTTTGTAAGATGCTGTTTTGTCTGTTACTTCCTTATAAAAGTAAGATCAACTCATTAAATATTTTTAAAATAGTGAAATATATAAAAGGGGAAAGGGGAAAGACACCACCCGGAGCCCTGCCACTTGCGGATAACCATGAGAACAAGTGCTTAGTGTATGGGTTCAATTCCCAGCACAAAAAAATTTTAATTAAATTAAAACAATCATTTAATAGCCCTGTCAATTGCCTTCCAGCCTTTTCCCCTGCATATAGTTTTCTTTCTTCATAGCACATTTGGTTAACATCTATACAAATACACTTGGGTATGTCTTTTTTTTTCAGAAAGTATTTACATACTCCTTTTACTTTTCACAAGAAAAATAATTTTAGGGGGGATAGGAGGGCAACAGAAGGATATTATATGCATGTAAACCCTTTGTACAATTCAAATACCCTAATAAAAAGCCCAAAAGAAAATAATTTAAAATATCAACACCAAGTATTTAACTTCAGAAATTATTTTTAAATCCATTTTATAAATTGAACAAATTTCCTTTGAACAGATAAATGAGTAAAACTAAGTAGAACTTTCTTATTGCCAAACAGAATGGCCTTTTCTTTCTTTCTTTCTTTCATCTAAACAACATTGTATACTATTTATATCTATTCGCTCCTGGATATTTGGTCCTCCCTGGGTTCCCTATCACTCAACTATTTTGAATTTTGCCTTGTTTTTCTCACTCTTGTCTTTTCATATAGTTATACGTCTTCCCAATAACTGAGAGGCAGGACGTACCCCACCTTAATTCTAGTGAACAACTGCTGAGTGACTAGCATGTGGCAGGTACTAAGATCAATATGGACTACTAATGGTGAACAAATCAGATATAGTCTCAGCTATAAAGCTGAGAATGAATAGGTGTTCATTAAACATTTATCCAAAAGAAAATAGAAAGGGAAGTCCCTATCCCTCTCTTCACAAAGCACACCATAGTCTTAAAGAGACACAATTAATTCTTATGGAACAAACAGTAAATAATTAAGTCACAATGTATGGGGCTCTCTTTTAAATCCACTAGAGATTCAGAGACAGGAAAAGCTAGGCTGGTTGCTGTAAGTTTTTGGAAGGGCTGGTACTTAACATAGTTCTCAAGGCATAGTTAGGATTTGTAAAGATCCTCAAAACATTCGTTTAATGCAAACTTTTCTGGTAGCGTTTCTATATTTATCCAGTGCTTAATGGCAAATTCTAGATTAAGGAACTGAAGAGGTAAAGGACGTGCTGTCTCAACTATGTTGAACTGATATACTGATTCTGTCACACTGAAGGAACTATAACTTCACAAAGGGCTGTTCTGCCTGAAAATTCCTCCATGCAGATCACAAAGATCATTTTGGAGAGGGATGACCTTCACACCAAGGCTGGAAAACAGCCTTAATCCACAGACAAAGGTAATAGGAACCACAGAACCTAAACAAACAACTCTGAAGAAACCCTGACTCCACCAGCCTCTACCCCTCCCATATATCTCCTAGTAACATCTATAGAATTTACTATTCTTGCCAAGGTATCTACTTGCCCCACTGTTCCTTCATAAATTTATTGTTGTCTTGTCGAAAAAAAGTATAAAAGCATCATGTGTGGGTCATTTCTCCACACTTCACTCTCTTGAGATCTCCAGGTGTACTGAAATTCATAAAACTCGGGCTGTTCTTTTGTTCATCACCACTTGTGGTAACTGAGTTCCTAAATCCACCCAAAATGCCCACATAGGAACTATGATGTTAAAGAGAATCTCCCCTAGCGAGCAAAGAAAACTGATTTTTACCTAGATATGTATTATACTTTCAAACTCACATTTATAGTAACTTCTGTTTTCTTTTGTTGTTATTGTTTTTCCTTCTTCAGTTTATACTTGGATACAATGAGTAGTAGGTTGGTAAACCATATGGGGGGGAGTACACTTACTGATTTCCATACATAAAACTCCCATCAATCATTGATTAATTCATTCTCTTTCTCTCTCTGTCTAGAGATGACTGCTTTCAGTCTATTGAAAGTATATTCCTTTCCTAATGAACTTTACTATCACTTTCATTATAAAACAAAAGCTATCATTAGTTTAACGGCAGTTTATGAAATTCCTAAATACTTCACAGCTGGCTCTCACACGCCTATAGGATCCAAATGTAGCAAGTCATTGCTCCATTCTGGAACCGTGGCAAGGACAGGGGGCTGGAATAGCATTATGGATCCAGAGCTAATGAGGTTAGGACTAGGGCACTCACAGTTAGAAGCCTGAAACTCTAATACTCTCTCTGGCCTCAGCAAGTCAATTAAGCCTTTGCCTCAATTTTCTTATCAGTAAAACAGAGATAATTCTTGGACTTCCTAGAGCACAGGGCTAGTGCAAAGATCAAATGAGACAGGCATGCAAGTTTCTACAAAAGTTTTTTAAACAAAAAGGAAGAAGAAATGTTCTTACACAAAAGGTGGGCGGGCTCATACAGAATATAAATTAAACCCCCGGGGGTTTGTGCTGATTTTGATCTAGTTTGCATTTTAAAACCACAGCAGCTGGCTGCAATGAAAAGTGACAGTCACAGCATCTCATCTTTTTTGTGTTTAATTCTTCAGGACAGTGGAATAAATGTGCGGTGTGTTTTGTTTTAAAATGGTGATCTGTCAGAATAAGAGAACTTTAGAAAAGGGAAAAGAAAATGTCAATCAATATGCTAAAGTGAGTTGTAAATATAAAAACTTGTCTTGTTAGACCATTGCTGTTTCCCTTGTCACAGTTGCTCCTGTGGTACTATGAGAGCTTTCAAATATTTAAATATAAAAAATTACTGTGTGCACCTTACAAAGGAAAAAACTACAAGTGTTTTGTCTTTTTTCTTTATGCTTTTAAAGATATATCCAATGTATGCCTAGATAGACATATACAGTTGAACTCGCCCTAAAAAATTAGGTGTCTTTACTTTCATAAACAGCTGAAGCAGCCAAAAAAAAAGGAGACAAAGTTTAATTTATCACTTTAGCGACTAACAAATGTGGTTAAATGACACCACCAAATTTACTACTTCATCCGGCTAAAAGTATAAACTAAAACCATAATAATGGTGTATAACTACTCAATTTAAAATAAGAGCCACAATTTCCTTATGAAAACACTTATCAGAAGTCATAGTTTTTCTTATTTTTTTACATAAAATAACATTTTCTGGTGATTACAAGCACTAAACGTGTTAAAGACCTAAGCACGCCAAAATGTTAAACACTTCAATTTTCAAAGGAAAGGCAATATGAATCAATGAAAAAAGAATGAGGCTAAAATAAGGCTATCAAGTTAAATTCATATTAGAAAGTTTTAAGATTCCCAAATATAAATAACCTCTTTCCAGTCCTGTCAATCACAATGTCACTGTCTACTTTTCTATGCTGTAAGAGTTGAGATCTAATTAAACTGCAACTAAATTCTTTTTTTGTTTTTTAGTAAACTTCATATAAATTTTTTAGTGAAACCGGGGTTTGAACAAAGAAGAGCTTTATCACTTGAGCCATGCCCCAGTCTTTAAACTTCATACAATATTTTAATCATTTTAACTTTCCAGAAAAGTTGTAGGGATAGTATAGATGGCCAGGCATAGTGGAGTGGTAGACTCACCACTCTTTACCTATTCAGGTGGTGGAGATCTGGAGGATGTCCAGCCTAGGTATAAATGCAAGTCCTTATCTCAGGGATGCAGTTTTGTGAGGAGTACTGTATTCTAACATTCTGTAGGATCTTCCTCCACTAAGGTTTAGCTGATGTTATTCTCATGATTAGCTAAAGTGACTTATTTAAAGAGGAAGACCACAGAGATACAATGTGTCATTCTTACCTCATCCACATGAAGGGTGTATGACTCACAGCTGCTTGTGCTCCCCCCAAACACTGGGTGAGGTGCAGTAGCTTCCCTCACCCACCACACAGCCAACAGTGGAAGAGTCACTGGGTGGACACACTTCAGGGTGAAGAGTGGTGCTCACCTTGAGGAGGGAGTGTCTGAATGAGTCACTTGGGATTCTTGAATTTAAGAGATTGGTCTATTCTCTTCCATTTATTTGTTCATTCTGTATTTTTTAATGAAACTGAAATGATGGAAAAGCAAAAGAGGGGAGGCTGAGACTCACTTGGTGGAAATTGTTAATTATCACTCTCCTGTAACACTGTTTCTGGTGATTCAGAAAAGATCTGAGCTATGCTTCAGTTCTGTGCTAGGTATGGAATACTGATTTTTAAAAGGCAGCAAGGAAAATAAAGAAAAGAGCAGCATGACTGAGACACGACCCTTAACAAAAAACCTTGGCAAACATCACCAAAAGATGATCAGAATTTTAAAAAGCAAGCAACAGTTTAAGAGGTTTAAATCTTCTCAGAAGTGAAAAGTTGTTCTTTATGGATTCTTAGAAGAAGCAGACTAGTCACAGTGGGCATTTTCTCCTAGGAGAAAAATATAACTAGAACTGTTTTGCCAATTCATTTGTCTACTGAACAGGGAATAACATTTTAGAATTAGAAGTATAGAAATTCATTCCACTCACCTTACCCCATCCCCAGTAACTTTTTCACTTCTCTACTTTTTGTAAATCTGCTTAGTATTCACAGAATATTCTACAAACCTTACTGGAAAGATTCCTAAATCAAACTTTGTGCCATTGAGCAGTAAACAACAAAAGCCACCGGG